TTTCCTTCGATTTTAGTTGATCCACTAAAGTTGATCAAGTGAAATCGAATCGTCAGTACGCGCCTTAGGAAGTAACTTGGGTCTTGTGCTTTTAGTGCTTTTTATAATATTTATAAATGATCTGCCTGAATGCTTGAGGTCATCCTATAGTTTGCTGTATGCTGATTATTTTAAGCGTTTTAAAACGGTTTTTTGTGCTGACTTTCAGTTTGATTTAAATGCGGCCATGAAATGGTTTAAAAATAACAGAATGCCAGTGAAAAGTGCTCGGCAGTCATATATCATAAGGTTAATTGTATTGTTGAAGAATACTTTGTGGGCGATGTTAAATTAGTAAGAAACAAATAAATTAAAGGACCAATGGACTTTATTTTTCAGGATACTTCCAGATTCAATAACCATTACATGTCTATTATTAATAAAACCTACAAAGCTCTAGGCTTTGTTATACGTAACATTAAACATTTTCGTAGTGAAATTATCATAACCTTCTCTGGTAAGACCACATTAGGAATAGGTATGCTAGTAATATTTGGAATCCAGCTACTGCATCAAACACTAATAAAATAGAAAAGGGTCAAAACGTTTCTTACGATATCTTTATGTTAAGAAAAATAATATTTATCCATACAAAGGCTCATACAGATTCCATGCTTTGATAGTTTCAATATGGTTAGCCTATATCTACTCGAAGGAAAACACAGGCTGTCATGTTCATTTACTATATGTATTTCAAACAATTTGAAGTACAAGAGCTGTGATCTTACTAACTATATACCTATATACGATTAAAGTGTGCCAAAAATGCATTTGAGAATGTTGAATAAAGAACCATTTAATGTTGATAAATGTAGTCCTTCACCATGCTTTTAGTGTGCAACGAGGTGTTAAATAAGCAATTTGAATAAAGATATTTTCAATGTTAAGATTAATCAGTTGTGTAGTATAACATACCCGGGTTCGTTCAGTAAGATTGAACGATGAAAATTTGTATTACCTTTTAAACAACAAATCTTCTGATAAATGAAATGAAAAACAAATAGGACCTACGTTGTGGAAACTTACCTCAATTTTACTTACCAAATCCCGACATAGCAAATATTAGGGAAATTTAAGGGAGGTTGTGATATGTAAAAGAAACGAAAAATTTGTGAAACGTCCACTTTATTATTAAAGTAAATCGTACCGTTCTCATCCTGGAACTAACGAGGGGAAAGAGTACGGCAGAGAAACCCTCGATCTAACATTCCTCAAAAATCGAAACATACTGTGTAATTTTAATAATAATTGTGAGTCATTAATCCAATAATTTAAGTCAATAAAAGTTTAAATTATGTACCGCTCCTGTTCTTATGCTAACATTTCAATTACACACGCTACATTCAATCAACACTACCTATATTCAATACTGAAGAGCTTTTTGGTTAGTTAGCCAGTTTCCCAGCAGGTACTGAGGACCCATACGGGAAGCTACTAAGCTATAGTTGTTTTTGAGCCAATATCTCTAGATTGATTATTTCAATTTGCTAGGATATTCTCTCGTCAGGGTAGGAAAATGTTAGTAAATTCAACAAGGCCCCAATGTACGCTCTAAATACAAAAATCAGAATCCCGGCACAAAAAGCAAGGAAAATAATTTTTCTAGGTTTTAATTTACTCTTTATCTGTGTCGTTTACAGCATGAAACGATTTATGTTATATACATGAACAATGCACATGTTATAAACAAACAAAAAAACATAAAAATTTTAAAAAAAAATGATACCTACTTGCATAGAACTCTCAAAAACAAAATAATAATTATTCAACTAACCTGTGACCGCTCCTTGACACACACACTAATAACAAATTGGATTGAACAATCAGTTTAATGCGAAAAAATAAATAAAAATATAATGAATAATTACAGACACGCGTCTAAAGGACCAGCCCAGCTTGCTCTAGTTGCGTATTCTCTATCTCCCGTTCGGTACCTACTCTTTCAGTACGCTTCACGGCGCATACAAGGTTGCAACATTTACTTTTATTCAGTAAACGCTTTTTTATATATACATACTGTTATTAGGTACCTACCGCTAAGAATTTTGTAACAGAAAACGAAAACTTTTAACTGTGCTTTTAACTCCCTACTATCCAACAATTGTTGTGAAACAGCCGCAAAGCAGCATGAAATGCGCGTGTGGTTCTTGTTAAATCCCTAGAACTGGAAAACAACCAGCTCAGATCCTTACCGAGAACAGTTTTGTTTTTATTTTTTCTGTCTTTCTTTTCCCACCTGTCTTTCCGAAGCTTTTTTAAGCCAAGTTGATGTCTTCTACCAAGCCATACAGCACTTTTCCTGAAATTTTATCGATAGTGTGCTTTCTTGGATCTGGGTGTTCGGAGGCTTAATAAAGTAGTTTTCACATCACGTCTATCAGTGAGAATGTTCTACGTGATAACTACGTCCATATTTCCCCATTTGATGAGATCCTGTTCAGAAGATCGACGTAAAAAATAGCGATATCGAAAAAGCGATAATGGCATGTAGATCATATCTCAGAACTCTTAGACTGGCGAATATGGGTATTCAAGGGAAAAGACACTTGCAGAACTTTCCCTGTCTCAAAATGTGCACAGCATGGATCTAAGAAAAGATACGATTGTTAAAAAATTCAGTTTTGAGAAAAGCTTTTCTATCGAACTATGCACAACTATGGCAACTTCAACCAAAAAAGATTAGAACTGCTGGTCAACCTTAGCAAGAAATGTCTCAAAACTCTAACTGGGTTTTTCTCAGGACACTGCAGACTTGAGGAACACATACGGAAACGGGTTCTGGCAAAAAGTGGTACAGGTAGGTACCTGCAGATTCTGTGAAAATCAAGAAAAGACACCAGCTCACCACCTTCTGCTCAACTGCGAAGCTGTTAGTCGTTATAGTATAGATAAAGAATAAAGAATCTAGGATGTCCCCTAATAGGTAGAAGACATTTCATCTCTGGAATTACTCGATATCCTGATTCCTATCTAAAGGACTTAAGACTAGAGGGGCTGCTTTGAGCAGGAAATATGAATTGAGTAGCTGAAGCAGGGTACAATAGATTAAAGGTCGCAGTGTAGCTGACACCTTCAATAGACAATACAATACAATACAATAAGCTGCCGACATGGAACATCGATATTTTCATTTTTCAATATTTTGAATATAAAATACTTGTAAAATAACCCAATGAGGAGTAGTTCGCGTATTTTAGAAGAGATATAAACACTATAATCATAGCAAGGAAATCAACAGAAAACAACCAAAGGGATCAATATAATAAAGGTGATCAAAAATACAATCGAAGACAACAAAAGTAGAGTCGCAGATAAATCCATATAGGTACCAAACAGGCAAAATACAAAATGTACGATCAGACAGAAGTTCCTGAAATAGATTCTGGAAAACTGAATGCAACATTACATCAAATGGAAAAAGCTCAGCCGAAGATCAAGTGATATGATAAAAATAGGACATGAGGTGCTGTTGAGAAATTGTTTAATGGAAGAAAAGATTCCGAACAAGTGGAATCATAATGCAGAAGTCGTCTCATCACAGTTACAAAAAGTAAGGATTAAGGAACACAAACACAACATAGGAAACTGTCGTCCTATCAGCTATTGTTATTAAAGTTATATTATGACTAAGCTTTCAACAACAAAAAATAATGAACTGGTTGAATGGACTTCTACCAACCAGTTGAACAGGCGGGATTCCGTTACAGCACTACCCACCACTTGCAGGCCATTCGTACTTGGAACAAATGCTGAGAATAACATTCCATTATTTGACCTTTGTGAATTATACCAGAAGGTCTCTGACTCTCTTGAAACCTGGGCAATTCTGTGATCAAATACCACGAGGATAGACTCCAGATACCTATACAAACCTTATCAAAGAATTTTATGACACATGACAATGCATCCATTCAGGTGAAAATAGATAAGGATTTAAAAACTGGAATCACTTACGATTTGTAGATGACAACAATATGATCATTGCCAGTGCAGGCGAAAAGCTCATAAATATGCTCGAAGAGCTCGACCGTGTACTCGGTGCATCACTGTTAAATGGACTTGAATAAACCTAATAATTAAAAATAAGAAGATTATGAGCTTAGAAAACATTGAGGTAAGGTAAGCTGCTAGAGATCAGGCATGGGATTCTCAATCTTTATTCTCTAGTCGTAACCTATCGTCCCAACTATCCTATTGCTTTTCTATGGGTGAGTCGGGACGTTATGTATCGACTAACGATTGAGATCCCACTACAGCTTAGAAAATGGGACTGATATTTACTTAGGACATAAAACTCAGCTCGGTAAAAATAGGGCTGCCATCCGTCCGGATTTCCCCGGATTTGTCCTAGTTTTAAAGGCCGGGATGATTTTTTTGTCAAAATAATGAGTGGTTCTCGAAGGCTTGAAATAAACTTTTTCGGGCGTGGCACCCAAAAAAATCTTCAGCCTCCGGCGGCGCCTAAGGTGGGCAACCCTTTAGTGGTGTCCGGGTTTGAGGAGTTAGAATCCGGGGTTTTTGTAAAAATTGTCCTAGGTAACAAATTTCATAAATGGCAGCTCTAGGTAAAAAAATATCTCAAGTAGAATAAATGGCCTCTCTTGGGCAGCTATTGGCAAGCTTGTACATAGCTACCTACAGCATGATAGATACTATTGTTTCTGAGGGTGAAAAAGGACCCATAAAATAGTTTATGTTGTGTGTTATTTATTTGAGACTATCTGTTTCTTATTGTTTTGTTGTTGATATGAGATTATTGAAAATGAGCCATTATTCGAATTGGTACAAAAAAAAACGCAGGTCAAAAAATCCCACAAACGTAGGTAGACCCCAAATCGCTATGCCCCTTCCTTATTTTATTCCAAAGTTAGGTATATTTTCAGAATCGTTTCGAAAGATTCCATATAAACGCGACACGAAAATAAAATAAAAATGATTTGTTTCAGTTTTCGCCCGCCTGCAGGCATCAGTTGCAGTTGAAGGAGTTCAGTGCCTGTCTGCGTCTGGGTTACTTCATTTCAGCCGCGATTTTCAGATACTCCTATATCTTTCTCTCGCTGATAACTGTATCGGTGTATTGGAAAATCAGTTGCAGTTTTGACTAATTTTGACTTATTTTTGTGTATAGAATTGGTGAGTACAAATTATCTAAGTACTAGTTATTTCTAGGTACCTACTCCACATGGAAGTTTGCCCAATAACAAAGAATCTCTGAATTTTCTTGTATGTCCTTTTTTTTTAATTATATTTTACCTTTTAAAAACAAACATAAAAATATAATCAAATATTGACCCATTTCACTTATTAGAACTGAAAAATAGATAATAAAATTTTTATCACTGGAGTGCATTGGGAAATGATAAAATACTTCTAAAATATATTTTTTTTTTATGCCACGTGTATGCAAGTGTATAGTTATCTGAGATAATTATTATTTACCTAAATAATTACCTATTTAATATTTATCAATATAACGTCCTAATTTTGATGGGTGTTATAGTATATAATATATTTCATCCTGGGTCTGTCTTCTACCTAAATAGGAGCTACATACTAGGTAAACTAAATACCACAGTTTCTTATACCAAAGTCTCTTATACCTAGGTGAACCCAAAGCTAAGAATATCACCTACCAAATTCATATTATTATTGTACTATATTATCAAAGTATTATCATCCTCTGTTAAATATGTTTGATTGTACCTGAAACCGGGATTAGGTGGTATGACATTCAAGAAATAAGTAGTGTTTATTTTTGGATTTAAATTTCCCTCTTTTCCAGGCAAGAATAATTTGTAATACAATATACATATTACTTTTACCCTTATTTTGTTTCTTAATTATTGAATTTTTCTTGTTCTTATTTTTACAAATTTTATCTTCATCCAGGCACACTGTGGAACACCGGTTCTCAAAATGTTATATTTTGCATTAAATCCACTCAAGCTTTCAAAAAACAAAGTACTTAGCTCATCAATAAAAAAACATATGAGTATCCTAATATTTTTGGAATTATGAAAAAGCGGTATTCCACAGTTTGAGATGATAGAATTCGTCAAACAAATAAATCCCTATGAACCCAGAACCTTTGCCTGGAAAATGCGTTGCAGTTAGAGAGAAATCAATAATTTGAGATGCAAATTTCAAGCTGAATAACAGCGTTGAAATAATAATATTTTTCTTCTGATCGGGTTTTCTTTGGCATCAAAAGTAGTTATGATAAATTAGTTATTCAGGCCGATGATGTATCATTTTTTGTTATTTCAACAGCAACGTTAAGATATGGTCACTGTTTATTCTATACGTCAAAATAGAGACAGCAATAGATGTTGAGCCTTAACACCGCCGTTAAGTTAACAGAACAAAATACATCATAGGCCTGAATGTTTCCCAAAATATGCAACAGGAAAGAGTAGAAAAATTAAAAGCCTGACCTACATCAAGCGTTTTTCTATAAAAAGTTTTTAGGTGTTTTATTTTTAGTTGTATACTAGAACGCAGTGGCGCTCCTATGGTTTAGTCTATTTAAAACTTGTATTCGCTAATATAATTATATTGTTTTTGAGATAGGAATTTTGTTTTGGTGCTTTTAGATTCTCCAACACCTTTAATGAAAAATACAAACCTGATGGATTTACATGGTGGCATCATTTTAGAAATTGTCTTTGTGAAGTCAATTTTTTTGGTTTATAACTTTTGCATAAAAAATTAGGATTTTTTTTTTTTTTTTGTGCCTACATGTAAAAGTACCTAATTATTTTGTATGATTTGTAATATAAACTAAGTGGATGTTATTAGTCATTAATAATTTCAATATCACATTTTTTTTTAATACATACATAAGTACCTACATAAATATTGTCGAATTAAAGGAGTACCTAGGTATGTATAAGTATATTCACACCCTCATAGGTACCTTGCACTCTCGTGCCTGAAATTTCTTTTCCCGCTTTCGTGAGAAAAATAGCTATTCCAAAATAGAATCTCTTATACTGAAAATACAACATGCAAAAACCACCTAGAACTTGATGATCAAGAATTACAAGAAAATATCTTAAAAATAAATGGTTTCAAAGATTATGGTAATGTGAATTTTAATTGAGACTAGTTTCCATAAAGTTACCTTATATTTTTAATAATTTTTTTAAAAGTCCAGACACTATGCCGAGGGTACTAAGTATATCAAATATGCAAGTGGCCATGGAAATCCCCTTGGTGAATACCATGTTTTATTTAACTCCTTTTCAAGCGGAAATCAGACCATCTAACAGGAAAATTCAGGGTTTAACATCAAGAGTTACACGATACAGCTTAGTTGGAATAGTTTTCAGTGGTACATAATTATTTTATACAGTGCCCGCGGAAAAGTCTGCACCATATGGGAATTTTTTTTATGCTCATCCTTACTTCAAATCGGTTTTCGGCATTAGGTTCTGCATGATTGAAAACCAAAAAAATACCTACAATTTTTGACTCGAGTCTTGCCTCAAATGCCATTTGAAAATTTTAAACAAGGAAAAGTGGCATTTTTATAAAAAATATGAAAAAATTTTATAAGAAAATATTGTTCCAAATGACATTTAGGAGTAGTTTATCAACAAACAATTTGAAATTTCAATTTGAGAAATCTAAAATTTTCAAAATAGTCCAGAGGCGTATCAAAATTTTAATAGAAATATTTCTTTTTGATGTTTAAACTCTTAATTAGATTATTAAGAATTAGAAAACCATTAGTCAGATACAAACTTATTTTTTTTAGAGGAATGGTCGCGAAAGAAATCCTAAAAATATGATTTTCCGTAGATATTCGAAAAAAAATTTAAAAAAAAATTTTTTTTTTCAAAGTAAGAATATCAAATTAGACTAAAAATGTCATTTGGAACAATATTTTCTTATAAAATTTTTTCATATTTTTTTTTAAAAATGCCACTTTTCATTTTTGTATTTTTGTATGATTACCTACCAGGTGTTTTCCATTTTTTTCTGGGGATTCCTATATCATTCCCAATTTTTTAACTACCCTGAACGATGTATCTTTAGTACTGCCTATAACTTCCAGCACCAGTTGTGCCCGAGCCTAGGGTGGAAATGTCCATATTTTCATAAAAACCATTTTTTCGATGAATCGCAATTACCCCTTTAAACCACCCTCAAAGTTATTTGCAAGTCTTTTTAGGTACCCTAAACGGTGTATATCGGTACTGCATATAACTTTCTGCCCCATTTGTGCCAGAGACTAGGGTGGAAAAACCCTTTTTTCGATGAATCGCAATTATTAGTTTTACCACATAACCACCCTCAAAGTAATTTGCAAGTCAAGTGAGGTTCTCCAAACGGTGTATATTGGTACTGCCTATACCTTCCAGTACCATTTGTACCCGAGACTAGGGTGGAAATGTCCATATTTTCACCAAAACCCTTTTGTCGATAAATGGCAATTATTAGTTTTACCCCCTTAAACCACCCTCAAAGTTATTTGCAAGTCTTTTTAGGTAGGTACCCTAAACGGTATATATTGGTACTGCTTATAACTTTCAGTACCATTTACCAAAATATATACATATGTACATACCTCCGGAGGAAAAGCCCTTTTTCCTCCCATGCATGGTATGTAAATATAGCTATAGATAGCATACCTCTAGAAGAAAAAAAAAACAATTTAATGTAGCCTCCCTCGATTTACAAGCAAAGATTGAACTCGAAACTTTGGATTTCAGCTGAGGTAAATCAAAAAATCGAACTTACACAGACATGGGAGCTGTTTGTTTTTAAAAATGATGTTGAGGTGCCCAGGGAGAGTCCTTAGAATACATTGGAGTTATTGACATTTCAATAAGGTTATCATACCCCAAATAAATACATAATAAAAATTCATTGGGATTACAATTTTTGCGACACTCTTGGCAAATAATTAAAATTGCGACAGCTATTTTTCTGTTTCTATTTATCACATTATACAAAATCACAATCGCATCAGATATGACGCATTTCGATAATCTTTTTTCTTGTTTTCGCAGGAAAAAAAAATGAAATAAAGGATTATCACATTACACTATAGGCAGCTTGAATCATGGCAAGAGGCATATTGAGAATATGCCTGAACAATAAACGATTTTTAGAGCTTAGACTGAAAAATGGTACCAAAAGAAGAAATTTTTCTACAAGTCAGTTGTATCAAAAGGAAGAACAAATCCACGGAATTCCTTATAATAAGTTGACTATTGGTGTTCCGAAAGAAATATGGCAAAACGAGAAAAGGTAAGATAGGATATGTTTGCCATTATTTAATTAGAATTATTAAAACCTATAATATAATTTTCCGATCAAATGAACTAACAAAATTTACTTTTCATGTCCTTCTAATAACAGGTACAACTTATTTGTACTTGTAGGAATATTTGTTTTTATACCTACTGAAGCAGAATAAAGAAAAAACTCGTGATCAATGCATGCTCAAAGTTTTTAACAAACAAGATTCACACTCTTCTAAAGAGTTGATAGAAGTTATATTTTAGAGTGGCAATTACACCTGCAGTAACACAAAACCTAACGAAAAAAGGTTTTAACGTTAACATAGAAGAAAGGGCTGGCGCACTAGCTAAATTTAGAAATGAAGATTACGAACAGGCTGGTGCTAAATTAGTCGATAATAGAAGTATATTTAATTCAGGTAAATACTAATTATTATTGACATGAATTGTGCATGTTTTATCGGAATTTTGTTTTTAGATATTATATTAAAAGTCAGACAGCCTTTGGATACTGAAATAGCCAAATTCAAAGAAAATTCCACGTTAATATCATTCCTGTATCCAGCTCAGAATGCTGATCTAGTTAAGAAGTTAGCTGATAGAAAAATTAATGCATTTGGTAAGAATTTATCTGGATTTTTTATTTGAATTAATAGTCAGTTTTTTTCAGCGATGGACTGCATTCCAAGAATATCTAGGGCTCAAGTTTTCGATGCCTTAAGTTCCATGGCCAATATTGCTGGGTATAGAGCTGTTGTTGAAGCAGCCAATCATTTTCCCAGATTTTTATCAGGTGATTTTTTTATTTTATTCATATAAAATAGATAGATAAAGTTACTGTTTTTAGGTCAAATCACTGCGGCTGGTAAAGTACCGCCAGCAAAAGTGCTTGTGATTGGTGGAGGAGTAGCTGGTTTGGCTGCTATTGGCCAGGCAAAATGTATGGGCGCAATTGTCAGAGCGTTCGACACTAGATCTGTGGTGAAAGAACAAGTTGAATCCCTTGGAGCCGAATTTTTGACAGTAACAATTGAGGTAAGAACCAAATGGAAATTTCCTTTTTTTTCCAAAAATCTATGACTTCATCTGAACAAACATTTTTCAACCAATATAGCTCTGTTGATGATTACTACGGACTGCAATCTGATTTGAATGAATTAATCCACTGGTTTACCAAATTTGATATTGATCCTAATGTGAACAAATGGTATTCAATACTTCTACTAGAAATCCTGGATCTTTACCTTCATCAAATTAACAACAGTCTTACTTTAATGACCCCAACAGGTTAGGGATCTAGGTATATATAAACCTTGTAGGTTAGGTAGTAGGTTAAGTTTTGTGGCTCATTTGTTGCCCCTACTGGCAATTATGTGTCTAGATCTTTTATCAAAAGATGTCCTGGAAAATTTAAGGATTAAGCTTTGCGCTCTGGAATATGGTTCGTAGGCTTCATTACTACTATAATCCATGTGCATAGCTTGAGATTTTTGAAATATGTTACCTTTGGACTTAAGGTTTATTCTAAGGTGGGGTCCATTAACTTAAATGATCATCATTATTGTGTACCAGCTCATTCTGTTTTCAGTATTTCCTTCTCATCTTTATTCCAGTTTGGAATTGATTTTATTGATATTTTGTATTGAACATTGGTTGATTGTTCAATAAATAATTTTCATGAAAATAGGAAGAAGGCGGAGACTCAGGAGGCTACAGCAAAGAAATGTCCAAAGACTTTATCGAAGCTGAGCATGCTCTATTCGCAAAACAATGCAGCGAAGTCGACATTATTATTTCCACAGCTTTGATTCCTGGCAAAAAGGCACCCGTACTTATTTTAAAAGTAGGTATCCTCATGAGATAAGTTTAAACTTTTTTCATAATAAAACATATTTCAGGAACATATTGAAAAAATGAAACCTGGCAGCGTCGTAGTTGATTTGGCAGCCGAAGCAGGTGGCAACATTGAAACAACTAAACCAGGACAAATATATTCGTTTAATGATGTTACACATGTAGGGCTTACCGATTTCCCTAGTATGTTGCCTACTCAAAGCTCAACTCTATATGCAAATAATATTTCAAAATTTCTATTATCTATTGGTAAGAATTTATTATATATTATATACATAGCGATAATCAGTCCATATATATATGTCATTTGTTATTCGCCAACCATAACCATTTGCTTTAATCTTGAACAATTTTAGGTGATAAAAATCACTTCAATATTGACCTGAACGATGAAGTTGTCAGAGGAAGTATGATTTTGGACAAAGGCAAGTTAATGTGGCCTCCTCCAAAGCCTGCTGGACCGCCTGTTGTAGCTGCTAAGAAAACTGAAGCTGTCCAACCTGCCACTGTCCCAACAAAAGAAATCACCCCCTTCAAAAAGACTTTGGATACCGCCTTGATGACAACAGCGGGCATAGGCAGTATTGTAGGCTTAGGAATGGTCTCGCCGAATCCAGAGTTCACTTCTATGCTCACAGTTTTGGGTTTATCAGGCATTGTAGGCTATCATACAGTGTGGGGAGTAACTCCGGCCCTGCATTCGCCTCTTATGTCGGTTACTAACGCTATTTCTGGAATTACTGCTGTTGGGGGTTTGTTGTTGATGAACGGAGGTTACTATCCTACTAATGCTGTCGAGGTAAGAATTTTTCAAAAGATTGTCAAATCAATACAAATTGAAGTTGTATGCTTTATTGTATTATGAAGAAGTAGGTCTTATTGACATTGACAAAGCTAAGGCAGGACTTCGAAAATGTGTCCTGGGTTAATTTTTTGTCTTAATGAATAGAGGTTACAAATTTCTAGGGCAGGCAATGCTTATCAGTAGTAGTAAACAATTGTAGGATGTCTGATTTTTGTAATTTCACGGAGACTAGTTCTTTCTGCAGTTTCTATTATCTGGATGGCAGGTCCTCTACAAGCACTGAAAATTAGTTGTCTGTATTCCAAAATTGGTCTGCATATTGTTGTGTAGATGTGACATGCAGTTTTGATGTTAATACCCTCGTCCTTGTATGTTAGGTTTCTAAAATGCTTGCTTCTTGTTATTGTCTTTTTCTTCATTGTTGACAGGTGATATTTGAAATTTAATTTATTGTCGAAATGAATACCCAAGTATTTGATGCGAGATTGAGGGGGTATTTGGTGGTGGAATATCTAGTTTTGGTGAAGCTTCGCTGATCTTGTGATGAAATATTATAAATTGCGATTTTTCAGGATTTACTTTTAGTTTCCACCTATCTAACCAGACAATCACTCTGTTAAGTGCTATTTGTAGAAATTGAACAGCTTGGGATATATTCTTGTGGTGTGATATAATCGGCGGTATCGTCTGCAAATTGTATGATATATGGACTTGCAACTGTAACCTGGTTTGTTGGAGAGAAGATGTCGTGACAATAAATATTATAGAGCATTGCGTTGTGATGATCTTTGTGGTGTTCCCTGCTCATTAGAAACTGGGTATGAAAGGCTTCCGTTTATTTTTACCACATTTTGTCGATTCTCCAGGCACTTCTTAATAAGTCATATCAGGTATCTTGGACATTGTAACTGATAAAGTTTAAACAGGATACATCTATGCCAAACTGTATCAAAAGTTTTTATCTAAAAACGTCGTCGCACTTCTGAAACCCATAACATTTGCTGACTGTATGTTTGATGTTAGAATGGATAGTGGATTAATAGTGGAGTGACCTTGCTTGAAACAGAACTGATGCCCAGGTATGTTTATTCCTATTTCGCGATTTATTCTGTTCCGAACCATTTTTTCAAGATTTTTTCCTAAAACTGGCAAAAGGGTAATTGGTCTGTAGTTTTCCACTCTAAAATGGTCTATGTTCGGTTTGGGTATGGTTATGACTATGCCTTTTCTCCAGGTATTTGGAAAGTAGCCATTAGTTAGACAGTAGCTGTAAATTTGTTTTATTTTTGTGTAGATTTCTGGGCTGAGTTGTCTTAAAATATTACGGTTGATGTTGTAACCTGGAAGGGTGTTTTGCCCTTTGGCTATGACCTGTTTGTATTCATCGTCCTCGATTTGTATATCAGCTGTGTGTAGCTCGCCTGAGAAAAAATCATCAAACCATTCGTTGACAATTGCAGTTTGCTCGTCCCCGTCATTCTTACTGTTGTTTGAACTCTCCAATCAGTTTGTGTATTTCTTTATTTAAATCATTGAATTGCCTTTTTAGGTTTGAATCGTTGTCATTTTGTTTTATTTGTCTGTAGAATTGGCGTTTTTTCTTAATTAGTGCTACCATTGTATAAAAAGTCTTTTTATACAATGGTGCTACTATGAAGGGAGGTTCATAGTTAAAACTTTTTTTCCTTAATTTTGGAGAATTCGATGTAGGTAACTAATTCCGACAATTTCTTATTAAATTCTTCGATAAAGTTTCCATTAATTTCTTCTTCTTCATGTAAAAACTCCCCCAGCTTCTGATTTACAACATCAATGTTACATTTTTGTATGTTATATTTTGTTTCTTCTATGTAGTTATCTTCTGAAGGTATTGTAGCATCCAGAGTCCATAGTATACTGAGATGATCACTTCCTAGGTCTGATGTTAATGAAGTATTAATGTTTTTCTTAATATTCTGAGTGCATAATATTATATCAGGTGTGCTTCTTGGGTTGTTCGTCATGATAAATGTAGTTGGTGTGTTGATTCTAACAAAATCGGAGTTCTGCATGAAAAAGTTCAACTGTTGTTTTTTTTTCAGCACTTGGGTTGAAGTCGCCAATTATCACACAGGTATTCGTATAGTGCGGCTTTTGTAAATATAGTTTCTTCTATGCGCGATGATGGGATGGGTGAATGTAAACCAATAATATATGCAGCTTACTCTCTCGGAAAGGGAAAGTGAAGTGCAGGCAACTGTTTAATGTATTATTGATTGCTGGTGGATTGGCTTTTCCTAGCTTGACTTGTTGTTTTGCTTCGACTAATGAACCGCCTCGTTTGTTAGTATTGACAATATTACCTTTTTGTTGAATACTGTCCCAGTTGTTTAGCGGAGAGGTGTTTTCCTTTCACTTGGTTTCCAAACATAATACAGTCTATATTGTTGGTTTGTGCATAATAATGTACAAGATGTTTTTTGGAGGCATACCTGTTTATGTTTGCATATATAAATTTTTGACTTATCCATCTTGATACATGATTATGTGGTCATGGATTATCAAAGGTTGGTGAATGCAACTTTTTTTTGCTTGCTTAGAATTAATGTCCTTGCTGATTTTATTTAGGGTTTTAATCTTTGTACTTGGAATTCCCTTGATGGGTTTAAGAGGTCTTTTTGGACATTTCGTTAACCATGCCTGCTGTTCTTCAGAATTACAAGCAGCACATTTTTCTGGTAATAACGTAGTGCAGGAATTTGTATGGTGTTTTCCTTTGCATTTTTGGCATATTATGGGATTTGGGCACTGGTCTGTAGTATGCGTGAACTGTGAACACTTTTCACGTGGAACTGGTAGAGGCTCTGGCGCTTTACTAGGAAAAACTGGATATACTTTGTATTTGTATGGAAAACCGTAGTTAAGAAGTTTTTCAAAGGAGTTTAATTCGCCCGTAATAATTCTTATTAACGTAGTCCAATTGCCGGTAGCTTGCGACTTTATTCGTTTGCAAAAACGGTGTATTATTCCTTCATTGGTTAGGTGCTGACTAATTTCTTCATCTGGAATATCTTTCTAAACACAAGCAATGACACAGGAATATGTTGCAGTGAATGTATTGTCCACCCATTTCATATTACCTTGAGTTTCCTTGCTCTTTTGACGTTTTCACAATTACATCGCTTTTTTCCGATTGTTGTTCATTCCAAATATCTGCAAACTCTAATCTGGTCTTATTTTTTGTTGTTGATAAATAAAACAGGTATTTGTATTCCTTTTTTGTGATGGCCAGCATTTTTGTAGAATAATTTACTTTAGTGGACTGGGGTTTTCTGGTGTCGTCTTGAGGTCCGATGATTATATTTTTAATTTGTTATTGTTTTGGATTTCCTGAACGTTTACTTTTTCGTCTATCCTCTTGATGATAAAGGCGGAAGACAGCAATAGAACATCGATCCCAGATAGTTCCACAACAAGCGCACTTTATTGTTTATATAGTAACAGACGTAGAAAAAGAACTTGGGCGATAGAAATCGCTCTACCAGCTTCCATCGATACAGGGGGAGCCTCAGACGGATATAAAGCTCTTGAGGAATGGGAGTAGAAGCTCCTATTATAGGATAAACATCGCTCAGAATCAGCGGATATTAACTGGGCAATTTTTACTATAAGCTCTGTCATGTTCCCTCTTTGTGGACGCTAGTAGCATTTCACCTTAGTTCTGTCTGTTTAAAAAAGAAGGAAGCTGTATCTCGGTCTTATAGCACCGAGTCTAAATGGAACGCAATTATCTTTCTAGTATGAAGTAAAGTATTTTAGGGGTCACTTGGACCCCAAACTCAGTTTAAAAAGCCATCTTTAGAAAATATACTCACAAGCTGCAGTGGCTATTTACACATGCCGCAAACTCGTAGGAAAAACATGGAGGCTAAAACCAGAAATGATAATATTGGATATGTACATTAAATGGCAATCAAACCCATAATCACCTACGCCTTTGGTGGCTAAAAACTGGGCTGAACTAAGGTAGGCAATAAGAGATGCCTATAGGCTACTTACATATATGCTACACTCATATCTTGAAGGCCATAAAGCTAGAGTGCTGAAATAAACTAACATATCAAATGCCAACAAAACTGGACTCAGACATTCTATTTGAAGTGGTGGTAAAGGACTGCCAAACATGGGAGAATGTAAAACTTTGGCGAACAACTTGTCAGTGTAGAACGTGGAACACAGATAGTTCAAAGCTAGCAGAGGAACAGTCGACCTGAAAATAAATCGAAAAGGCTTGAAACTCTCCTCAGCAGCCTTTTATTTCAGAAACTTAAATTAAATCCAAATGAGCTAAAATTTTCAGGGATTGTAGTCTTTTACCGGGTTAAGAGTCGCTGAGAATTTCAGCTTTCTATCTTTAATAGAAAAAAAGTTATGACCTTTCAAAGTTTTCCAAAATCTAAATCATAAGGCTACCTTCTTACTAGAACGATGAAATTTCATTTTTTTTTTGTTGAGATTTTGTGTGCTAATGGTCCTTTGAGATCCCCCAAACTCCATACACTAAATTATTCTGAGATTTGGAGCCAGAGTCTATGAAAAAACGTATTCAGAAAAATTGAAAACTTGATAAATCACCCCAAATTGCTTAACACGATTTTATTTCTGGAACTATAAGTCCAAATGAGCTGAAATTTTCAGGGATTATAGTCCTCTACTAGAATAAGAATCGCTGAAAATTTCAGTTCTCTATCTTCAATAGAAAAAAAAGTTATGACTTTTCAAAGTTTTCCAAAATCTAAATCATAAGGTTCTTCTTACTAAAACGATGAAATTTCAATTTTTTGTTGTTGAGATTTTGTGTCCTAATGGTCCTTTGAGATCCCCCAAACTCCATACACTAAATTATTCTGAGATTTGGAGCCAGATTCTATGAAAAAAGGCACTCAGAAAAATTGAGAAATTGATAAATCACCCCAAAAGCAGCCTCTTAAAGCACATTGAGATCCTGTGGGATACCCAAATAGGTCTAAGAGCTCTAGAAGCTATCAAGTGCTAGATAACATGGAGGAAGCAGATTTTCTCGCAAAACAAGGAGCTTCAACTCTTTTCCAAGACTCTGAGTTTATTCTTTGGGCTAATGAAAAACTACCTGAATGGAATAGAAGAACTTCGAAAGGCGGGAAAAGAACCAAATGCTAACTCATGGATCCATTCATCATCCATATCAGCAAAAAGATTTGCACACTTCTGGAGATTTTGCAACAAACAACAAAAACAGCAGAACCCGTTAAAATATTCGGAAAGGTATCAGTACTAAGCGGCTGGAAATGACTCCAGATGCAACCTACTATCTAATGGAAGATGAAGGTTGTTTTGGTCAGTCGGGTTAGTTTGGGTTAGTCCGTGTTCATTGTTGCGTTTTTTTCTATTTGTACTTTTTGCCCTAAAAGTTTGTAACCATTCATTTAACTTGTAGTATTTACTCATCCTTGGGAATTTGCCAGCATAATAATGTTTATTGTCATCACGCTTTTTCACATGTGTAGTTTTACAGTAAAACTTCTAACATTAATAGTCTTACAGTTACATAGTAATACAAATTGGTAAATTGTCCAAGGATGAGTGGGTGGTGGACACTATATGTGAAAAGTTTACCATAAGGCTTTTCTATTAACATTGATGGTGATTTATTTTACAGGTGTTAGCTGCCAGTGCTGCCTTTGTGTCGTTCATTAACATTTTTGGAGGGTTTTTAGTGACTAAAAGGATGTTGGATATGTTTAGAAGGTAATTTTGAAATAAGAAATTTTGTATTTTAACAGCAGTATTGTGGGAATTTATCTTATTCATCTCACACAGGAGTTATACTGTATGGATTTGAACAAGTCTAATAGAATAATTGAACGTTCAATTTTTGACGCTCCAAATTTTCGAATTGTTTAGTCGCCAAATAAGAACCATTCATAGACCTAACTACTACGTACATAGTAATTAGGTCTATGAACCAATATTAAATTGATAAGTTCCTATATTAATATCATGAAAACGACAGATACAAATAAATTTTGGGAGCCTTTTTTAATAGGGATTTAAAAAGGTGCGAATAGAAAACTGAATCCTGTAGCTTTAAAATTGACCAAGCTACTGACATTTTATGTTTTAGTTGATTTTTCATAATTTCCAAGGTAGTATCTCAGTATTTCTGATATTCTTGACAAAAGTGCTTATTATAAGTGGAAGGAAAAAGAATTCGCTCGACATGCAAACATAGAGTGTTTGCATGTCGAGCTAATTCTTTTTGTTTTATTTTCGCTTAGTTATCTAACACATAATGTTGAGAATAAATATTGACCTTTGGAACTAAACTTACTATTGTCTTCCATCATAATATTATCATTTTTCATCTAAAAATATACCTAAAACAAATTTGACCTATTAATAGTTTGTTTGCAGTTAGCAGTAGGTATATACCTATAGTTACACAACATTACAATCTCTACTTGAAAATCGCATGGTAGGTATTAGAAGTATTACAATTTTCTTCATATCATATTTGCCCTTCTTCTTGAGATAATTAAATGTTAGGTAATAATGGATAGCTCTTCTTTCTTAAATAACAATTCAAAAATTGCAGGAGTCAAAAGCAAGATGAAAAAAAGCAAATAATGTCCATTTAAAGTAAAAGTATTTAGATATTTGCTTACGAAAGATTAGGCTTGGCATTATAAAATTGAGCAAATGTTGAAATTAATAAGTTTTTTGTAAATTGACTCTTATGGTGATTTTCATATATCAACAATCTAAAAAAAAAAATTTAAATCTAGATCCACTGATCCACCAGACTACAACTCCCTCTACGCCTTACCAGCAGCCGTATTTCTAGGAGGCTACGGTTACGCTGCCATGTCTGGATTAGCAGAAGTCCATCAGGCAGCTTACTTAGCAGCTTCCCTTTGCTGCGTCGGCGCCCTGGCTGGACTCAGCAGCCAAGCTACCTCCAGACTAGGAAACAGTTTAGGAATCATTGGAGTAACTGGCGGAATAGCGGCTACTTTAGGGCAAATAGCGCCAAGCAATGAGGTGCTAGTGCAAATGGCTGCTGTAGCTTTGGGTGGAGGCGCTATCGGGTCGATTATAGCCAAGAAAATTCAAATCACTGATTTGCCCCAATTGGTAGCGGCTTTTCATAGTTTGGTTGGCATGGCCGCTGTTTTGACCTGTATTTCAACGTATATACATGATTTTGATAGTTTTGCTACCGATCCTGCAGCTAATGTTGTTAGAACTGCCTTGTTTTTGGGCACATATATTGGAGGAGTAACGTTTAGGTGAGTTAAAATACTAATTTATATAAATCTTATATCTATTTTTCTGTTGCAGTGGCTCTTTAATAGCCTATGGTAAACTTCAAGGGGTCCTCAAATCAAGCCCTCTTCTTCTTCCAGGCCGTCACGCCATAAACTCTTCCTTACTGCTAGCGAATATTGCAGCAGGAGGTTACTTGTTCTATGATCCCACATTGGCAGGAGGTTTAGGTGCTTTGGGCACTACAGCCGCTTTGAGTACAGCTATGGGTGTGACTCTGACTTCAGCTATAGGCGGTGCTGATATGCCTGTTGTGATAACAGTATTGAACAGTTACTCGGGTTGGGCATTGTGCGCAGAAGGTTTTATGTTGAATAATAATTTGATGACTATTGTGGGAGCTTTGATTGGTTCTTCTGGAGCTATTTTGTCTTATATTATGTGCAAGGTAACTATAATCATTTTAAATCATAACAGATTCAATTGCAATATATTGACCATAGTATTAGCCAGCCCAAAAATTCTTCGAAAAAATTAAAATTATGTTGTATATTAATGATATTGATGCGCTGATTCAAAATTGCTCTATAGACTTGTTTGCTGATGATACATTGATCTATTTTTTTTTTCTAAAGACCCAGTTAACCTGATGCATGCAATAAATCTGGATCTTCAGCAAATTCAGTTGTGGTTCAGTGATAATATGCTTAAGCTAAATGTTGGCAAAACGAAATTAATTATGATTGGAAGTAACAGAGGATTCAGCAGGAAATACAATCAGTATGATTTATAGATAGAAATGAGCGTGTAGAGGTGGTTCAGAAGATCAAGTATTTGGGGTTTATTATTGATAATAGGGAACTTGCACATTTTTTTTTTTATTTCAAGAATGTGTTCTACTACACTTAATACGTAGTCATACCAAATATCGAGCATTAAAAATGCGCCGTTAATTTTTTATAAATATTTTAAAGTTACGCTCCGAACATCACCATTTAAAATGACCAATTAGTGTGACGTCACTCGGCAACAAAATTCCGTTGACAGTGACGAGCACTTCGAACTTCGAGCAGGCGTGGCGGCGGCGCGACCCGATTATTACTGCCTTGTGACGTCACGACCCATAGAAACACGTTTTCGATCGCGTTACGAATTTCGAATTATTTGGTATTTTCAATTGAAGATTTTGGAGACCAGAGATAAGATATAACTTTTTTTCCTAACTGCATCAATTATTAGGATGTTTGTTACTGTGTTTTATTATTTATTCCATTTTTAATTTAATGTGCAAGTTCCCTATTCTCTTAAATTTAAAGAACATATCCTGTACATCATTGACCAAATATCAAGAAATGTCAATTTTCTGTCCAGAGTATCCTCATCATTATCTAAATGGACCAAAATTACAATATATAACACCCTGATCTTACCTCATTTTGTGTATAGTGCAACAATACTATTCACTGCCAACAAAAATGAGATGATTCGCCTGCAAAAGTTGCAAAATAGAGCTATGCGTATAATATTGAGGAAAAGAAGGGACACACTGATAGTTAAATTGCTGAAAGGGCTGGATTGACTATCTGTCGAAGGGTTTGTCAAGTATCGGGGACATTCACAACTATGCAACTAGAAATAGAGACCATTTTTATAATGCAAGAAAGAATAAATCGCTTTCTGAGAAAGCAGTATACAATAAGGGGTTAATAATTTTCAATGCGTTGCCCAATGACAAAGAACTTGCCATTCATTGGATTGTTTAAGGGGAGATTCAAAGATGCAAATGAAAAAATATGTCATGTCATGTTATATCATATTTCCTCAGTTCAGAATTGTTCAATGATCTTCACATTGTAAGGTGGTAGTATTAGTAGGTGAACTAATTATTATATCTTATGTACCTGCTTTATTGTTGTATTATCGTATACTATAGTAGCAATTTCAATCACATTGGAGCTAATTAACTAGACTAGAAAGTTTTCCACAACTATCTTCCTCCTCAGTCAACTATTTCTTATAGGCCATGAATCGTTCCTTACCAAATGTCATTCTGGGAGGCTATGGTACTTCGAGCACCGGAACTGGCAAACCAATGGAAATCACTGGTACTCATACCGAAATCAACATAGACGGCGCTGTAGAATCGATCAACAACGCCCGCAATATAATTATAGTTCCTGGCTACGGACTGTGTGTAGCTAAAGCTCAATATCCCATTGCTGAAATGGTAGAGGTATTAAAAAAAAAGGGAAAAAATGTCAGATTTGCTATTCATCCGGTAGCTGGCCGTATGCCAGGTCAATTAAATGTATTATTGGCCGAAGCTGGAGTTCCTTATGATGACGTATTGGAAATGGATGAGATTAATGAGGATTTTAATAGTACCGATTTGGTACTGGTTATTGGAGCGAATGATACTGTAAATAGTGCCGCCGTTGATGATCCCAATTCACCCATTGCTGGTATGCCAGTGATGAACGTTTGGAAGTCTGAGCATGTGATTGTTATGAAGAGATCTTTAGGTAAGTTATTTGCAAACTTTTATGAAGGAATTAACATATTCAATGTTTGTATTTTTCTCAACGTTAGTGTCTAGCAGCACCATACTACAGTGTGTTTCACAAACATCAAAACATGAATATTTTAAGGTCAATTTAAAAAGAAAAAACGCTCAGACACATCATTTTTATTTTCAAGGGGGAAACTTTTTGATTCCTACGGTATTCCGCTAGGGCGCTGGGAGGGGTGAGTTTCACTCCCCTTTTTTAGATAGGGAAGATGGGTCGAGTGGTACCTTGTTTTAAAGATACTTTGATTCTCGTCACAACTGCGTTTTTTTTTTTTTTTTTTTAAATCGAATGAATGGTTTCTCAAGATATTTACTGTCAAATTTACCATGGGCTAAATCAGGAATAATCTTAGGCCCTGTTATTCTCAAATTACCACTTTCTTGACTTTCCTCTCAGTGAGAATAAGAGGGTCAGAAGATTATTTCTTATTCAGCCCATAGCAAATTTGACAGGGAATATCTTGAGAACTAATTATTAGATTTTCAAAAAAAAACACGCAGTTGTGACGAGAATCGAAATACCTTCAAAACAAGGTACCAATCGACCCATCTACCCTATCTAAAAAAGAGGGATGAAAGTCACCCCACCCAGGGAGTGTACCCGAGTGAAATACCGATGGAGTCAAAAAGTTTCCCCCTTGAATACAAAAATGACGGATGTTTTTTTTTTGAAATGAATACTTCTTTGGCCGCATGAGAGTGATTTTTCAAGGTCGCGTCACGACACGATTTATAAAATTTTCGTCTCGCAAGTGAGATGAAGCATATGATGAATATGAGGGAGAGAGAGTAAGTATTCACTTCTATCACGTGAACTGTGCTGCACGCGACTTTTTTTTCATACGAGGGATGATTTTTCTAAGTTTGACTGCTGGCAAGGAATTTTCCTTTTGAGGGATGATAAAGCATCCCTTGAACAAGCATCCTTCTAAATTTGAACATGAAACACCATCTAGGTGTCTGAAGAAAAAATAAGAAAATATGAAATTTTCAATATTTTTTCATAAGAGGGATGATTTTCCTAAGTTTGACGGCTGGCAAGAAATTTTCCTTTTGAGGGATGATGAAGCATCCCTTGAACAAGCATCTTTTCAAATTTGAACGTGAAACACCATCTAGGTGTCTGAAGAAAAAATAAGAAAATATGAAATTTTCAATATTTTTTCATACGAGGGATGATTTTCCTAAGTTTGACGGTTGGCAAGGAATTTTCCTTTTGAGGGATGATAAAGCATCCCTTGAACAAGCATCCCTACAAATTTGAACGTGAAACACCATCTAGGTGTCTGAAGGAAAAATAAGAAAATATGAAATTTTCAATATTTTTTCATATGAGGGATGATTTTCCTAAATTTGACGGCTGGCAAGAAATTTTCCTTTTGAGGGATGATAAAGCATTCCTTGAACAAGCATCCTTCCAAATTTGAACATGAAACACCATCTAGGTGTCTGAAGAAAAAATAAGAAAATATGAAATTTTCAATATTTTTTCATACGAGGGATGATTTTCCTAAGTTTGACGGCTGGCAAGGAATTTTCCTTTTGAGGGATGATAAAGCATCCCTTGAATAAGCATCCTTTCAAATTTGAACGTGAAACACAATCTAGGTGTCTGAAGAAAAAATAAGAAAATATGAAATTTTCAATATTTTTTTTATACGAGGGATGATTTTCCTAAGTTTGACGGCTGGCAAGGAATTTTCTTTTTGAGGGATGATGAAGCATCCCTTGAACAAGCATCTTTTCAAATTTGAATGTGAAACACCATCTAGGTGTCTGAAGAAAAAATAAGAAAATATGAAATTTTCAATATTTCTTTAGTCGCATGACACGATTTATAAAATTTTCGTCTCGCAAGTGAGATGAAGCTTATGATGAATATGAGGGAGAGAGAGTAAGTATTCACTTCTATCACGTGTACTGTGCTGCACGCGACTTTTTTTTTTTTTAATTGACCTTAAAGTACCGTAAAAGGCCTGTGTTTTGATGTTCGTGAAACACCCTGTATATTATGTATATGGATGATCATAGGGACCTGGATCTTTATTTAAGGTTTACTAATTACCTAGTTTTGGTTGGTTGGTTGGTTTACCAAACAGTAGGTACCTATTTATATTAAAAAAATTGAGCATCAGTATTGCTACCAGCAATTTGTTTGAAGTGTTTGATGGCGTGGATTACATAAAAGTAAGCTAGAAAAATTGAGCACTTTTAGGCCTGCTTCAGCCTGATTTAGTGTGGAATATTAATATAGATTTTAAATGCAATATGGAGTTTTTTGCTGGTGGATGAAAAACAAAAGTTGAGTTGTTGAATTTCCAAGGGTATTCATAGACAAAGAGCTGGAAATATAATATGGGTGATAAGACAGAACTTTCGTTCTCATGAGAAAGCTGCTTCCATGTTTTGAGAATAAGGACACTGAGGAGAAACTGGTGATAAATAAATATCTCCTAAGTGTTCCCAGAGACTAATACTATGCATATTTTTCGAAGTCGCAATTCCATGACTGATTCTGACCTCCATTATCCATATGCTGCAAATTTCAAATCTGTCGTTACCAGTATAAACTAGCGCTGTCACTGATAGCTTTTGGATTTATGACAATGGATAATCTTACACACAGTATCTGGACTAAAAGAAATTTAGAAAGTTTGTTAATTGGTTTGTTATGTTTTCTGTGGGTATTCTAGCCTAATCCTTACATTAATTCCTTTTGAATTTACTTAAACGTATTTTCCATAATACTAGACCATATTATAACATGTGCTATGTGTCTATTTGTATGTATTTTTATGTTCATGCTTAATTATATAGATTCAAAAATATACATAATTTCAGGTGTTGGTTATGCAGCTGTCGACAACCCAGTATTTTTCAAAACCAATACTTCCATGTTACTGGGCGATGCTAAGAAAACTTGCGACGCCCTCTTACATAAGATAATGCAAGAAAATTGAAACTGTGTTACTACGGGATTAATTGATGACTAGATAAGTGTAATTAATGTACTGTAAGCTTTGAAATTAAGATAGAGAGAGGCGGCAACATACCCAGTGAATATATCTTATAGAATGTACATGTAAAAATTGACTCTAGAGGGGGAAAATTTCTGAATTTTCTGATATATTGTATAGGTACCCAAGAGAATGTTATATTCATTTAATGTATTTTTTCTATAATAGTATTTCTTTGTATGTATTTTTAAAAGATAAGGAGAAACATAGTCTGAGTTATTTTTTTTGTACAGAAAATCCTCAGGAAAGAGTACCTACATATGCGAATTTTCCCATTGAAATGTAAATAAGTTTTTTTTTCTCATTTTTATTCCTGTTAGTCTTAAGTCTTATTTGTATTCAATAGATTTTTATTTTTTAAAAAACCATTTCCATTTAATAAATCCAACACCCCAAACAGATTATAATTTGCAATTATATTATTACATAATCATTAATAGAGATAACCCAGAGAGTGTTAATCAATAATTAATAAAGCACTAAAGATATACAGTTATCATAATACTGTTATCAAAAAATTTAATGACGAACGTAATATGTATAACTCAGTCGTATGTGATTTCTTGTAATCAGAACGTGTAGGTCAAAAAATGGACAACTTGATTTGCGTGAAGGACTTTGAAGTACAAGCTCACAAATTACTACCAAGAAATACTTTGGATTATTATAGAAGTGGTGCTGGAAGACAGGAGACTTTAAAGAACAACCGAAGTGCATTTTCCAAGTAAGAATAATGATTATAGTCGTTTCTTTATAATCAATGAAAAATCAGTTATGGTTCAGTGTTTTCATCAGCAGTTTGTTATACCCACTATAAACCAAAACTGTTGATGCAGGCACAAAATCTAGTATATCATTAATCAACATCGTGCGTTTGCAGATACAAAATACGTCCAAGATGTTTACGAAATGTTGCCAAAAGAGACTTGAGCGTGACAATTTTAGGCGAAAAAATCTCTATGCCCATAGGAATATCGCCTTCTGCCATGCAAAGAATGGCCCACCCAGAGGGAGAATGTGCCAATGTCCGAGGTAAAACTACGCCAATATGTGTGTATAAGTATACCCATTTGTATTAACATTTTCAGCTGCTCAATCCATGGGAACTATATACACTTTAAGTACCATATCAACTAGTAGCATAGAGGAAGTGGCCGAAGCTGGACCCGACGCCTTAAAATGGTTTCAATTGTATATTTACAAAAATAGGGAAATAACTAAAAGTTTAATAAGGCGTGCCGAAAATGCTGGGTTCAAGGCTTTAGTTTTGACAGTCGATACGCCTATGTTTGGATTGAGATTGGCCGATATGAGAAACAAATTCAGTTTGCCTTCGCATTTAACGTAAGGATTTGTTACGGAATCGATAGAGTAATGTGTTAATACTGTCAAAATAACAAGTTTTTTTCTGGTAACTTGAAGTGTTAGAAATTGATCTTTTGGTCTGGGTTAGTTAATATCGAAGTCTACAAAAGTCCGAATCTTAAACAGCGAATCAAAGCACTTAAAATTATTCTAGAGAGAGTTTGATAAAATAACAGTAAAGTAGATCTCACTGAACTTTGCTCCATCTTTACCTAGAACTGACTATGCAACATTCTTCTGAGTTCACTGAATATCGTAGGATTTCTATGACTTTTTAGCTAAATTTAAAGAGAAGGTGAACGAAGCAAATTTTAGCCCTTCAATTGGTAAAACTACTATCTTCTCGTTTTTTTTTTTATTTTCTTGCGGCTTCAACTGCTAAACTTTTCTTTGTGATGCATTCCCAACCAGCCCACAATATAATACCTCTCATATTTACTCCTTTTATTTAGACTAGCCAACTTCCAAGGTCAATACTCAGATACCCTGAACAAGAAAGGGAAAAATACGGGTTCGGCCCTCAATAATCTCGGTGATTTACTGGATGCCTCTCTGGATTGGGCTGACATCCATTGGCTGAAATCCTACACTCGTCTTCCCATAGTTTTGAAAGGTGTTTTAACTGCCGAAGACGCTCTTTTAGCTGCTGACGCTGGAGTTGCTGGGATTTTAGTCTCTAATCATGGAGCTAGGCAAGTGGATGGATGGCCAGCATCAGTAAGAAAATGTCTCTATAATTTTAAAAATTATTTATTCGTTGTTGGTTTAGATTGAAGCTCTCCCGGAAATAATCGAAGCTGTAGGTAAAAGGATCGAAGTTTACATGGATGGAGGGGTATCGGATGGAACTGATGTCTTCAAAGCTTTGGCTATGGGTGCTAAAATGGTCTTTATTGGACGCCCTGCTCTCTGGGGACTGACTTGTGGAGGCGAAGATGGAGTCCGAAAAATTTTGACTATTCTTAGGACTGAGTTTGAGTATGCTTTGGCTATTTCAGGTAGAAATTTGTAAATTACTTGAATTATTTTATTGTCATTTATATTTTATAGGTTGTTCTGAGGTTGCAGATATTCGACGTTCGATGATTGTGCATGAATCTTATTATTCCAAATTATAATTTGTCTAATCAATATATCAATCAATACAATTTTTCTATAGGTAATCATTGAACTTTACCAAGAAAAAATTAAAAGCACAAATTTACCCTTACAGAGTATTTATTAAATCTATGCGTACTTAGGTATAAACATTATTTTATTAATGTAACTGATGTAATATGTATGACAAAATATACCTAATAACAATAATCCATAATAATCGTTTTATTATTAGGTATTAGAACCCAAAAATAGTTTACGAATAAATCTTCAACTTGTCATTGCTTCCATTCAAGCTGAGTAGTGTATGCTTGTTAAGTCTTGCCATCTTTACCACTGATCAATGATTCTTCCCATGAAATACCAACATTTTTTTGATTTGTCTCCTTTGTTAAGCAGCACTATGGCACTACTGCGTTATAACCCTTCAAAAAACTGGTTCGCATTAAACTTGGTTGTCGCTGAATAGGCTAGAACAATGATTGTTGAGGTTTGGTTTGCAACATGAGATGAAGTGATATGGACTGTATTGTTTTCAATAGGGTCACGCGAAAACAGAGCAGCCTTAACTTATCTCAATGGAGACTATGATGGAGACTCTACTGTCAAGGCGTGAAGATAATTATCCGTGATAAGTCATCAAATTCTAAGATACTCTGGTTCATAGAGCCTAAAAAAATCAATGTCTCCCAGCTCATTACACAGTCTGAGGGTACGAGGAATAAAAGAGTGATATGTGATATGCATAGTTGGTTCTGTGAAATTGAAGATGAAAAGTTTGAGATGTGAGGGTGTTACGTTACATGTAGGACTATTTTAGAAGTCAAGTAGGGGCAATCAATTATGGAATTTACGATTTTATGAATCAGTTTGAGGTCTTTCTGCTTCCTTCTTGCGCAAAGGGTTGACAAGTTGAGTGCGTCACAAAGTGGTGCATAATGAAATTCCTCATCGTTAAAAAATTTGTTATTGAGATATCTGCAAAATTTACGCTACACACCTTCAAGACGATGAATATGACAGGCATAGTTTGGACTCCAAGCAGATGCAGCACACTCAAGATGTGTACGAACAAATGAGAAGTATAACGTTTTGATGGAGTTGATTCCCTTGTACTACGCTTCACAAACCCAAGCATCCGAAGTGCTTTGTTAACTATGGCATCGATGTGTGAAGAGAAATCAAGATTGGAGCTTAGCAAAACGCCCAGATCCCTGCCATTAGTTTGACACCACTGAATTAACCTGTCAAGATCCTCTTGCAGAGCATGGCAGTCATCAAGGGTAACGATTTTCAAAAATAATTTCAAGTCGTCGGCAAAAAGAAGAAATGAAGAGTGTAGGAAACAAGAATATATGTCATTGATGAACAGGTTAAAGAGCAGTGGGCCTATATGCGAGCCTTGAGGAACACCTGATGACACTAAGATTTGGGAAGAGGTAAAGTTGTTAATATGAACTATCTGTGTCCTTCCTGTAAGATAGCTTCCCACCCATTGAAGCAGAGAGCCAGAGATGCCAAGTCTCTCTAGTTTTTTGATCAGGACTAAATGTGACTCACAGAACACATATCCTCACGGAGGATATGTATTCTGTGATGTGACTAAATGATTGACTCTGTCAAACGCCTTGGAGAAGTCGGTGTAGATAAAGTTGTGGATAAAGTCCGACAAATAACATTTTAAAGTCACTTGATATTGGTTGCAAAAAACGTATGTTCATTGATTATGTCGTTGATATCACCTACAAAATAAAGCTACTGGTGGTTAATTACTATTGCATTTTAAGATATGTTCCCACTAGCATTTTACAAACGCGTTTCTGAAGTAGTATTGACCAATCAGATGGGAATTTTAATACTTGCAATTGTTGCGAGACTCGCTTTTGTCGCTTCTGCTGCCCCTTGTAATACATTCTGAACTTGAATTGGATATCCGTTTTCTATTAGCTTCTTTTCGAGTCGGAAAAAGGTTGATGTATTCAACAAGGATAGAGAAAAATCACGTGACTTTAAAATGGTATTTGTTGGACTTTAGTATGTACCTCCTCACCCCTCTCCAAGGCGCCCGTCAAAAAGTCAGAGTATGTGAGAAGATTAATTTCCGTTGATGACCTCTTCTTGATGCCAAACTGCTCGGATATAATTTCGCTGCTTAAAGATGATGATAAAAATTTTGTGACAATATTCTCAAAGATTTTAGGAATTGCACTGATGATGCAAATTGGGCGATAATTAGTCACATCTAATGAGTCAACGGATTTAAGAATCGGCACCACATAACTGGCTCTCCAATATTCAGGGAAGAAGCCGTCCCTCAGGGACTTGTTGTAAATTATATGCAAGGGTTTGGACAAAACAAAACCGCAGTTTTTCAGAAAGAGTGGGTGGATATGGTCAGGCCAGGTCCCTTGTTTGGGTCGATGTTATTTAGCTCCATGTAGATATCAGAGATAGGAATAGTGAAATCAAATAAATTGCGAGGAGATAGAGAAAGTTGATCTGGGAAATCCAATACTTGATCAGTATAGACTGAACCAAAGTATTCGGCAGCTTGGGGATCCATAGCTGCCGACTCACCGTTATGTCTAAAACTTGGAGGAGGCTTACTCGAGTTTTGTATAGATTTGGTATAGGACCAGAACTGTTTTGGGTCACCCTGCAATGCCGATTCAGTTTCAATTAGGTATTCACGAAAATTCTCCCTAGAGAGATTGCACTGTGAGCGCAAGTCAGAAAATGCCAGATAATCCGAAGGTAGGCGACTTTGTTTATATTTTTTTTTAAAGATTTTTTTCTGTATAATGAGTGCCTTCAAATCCTGTGAGAACCATTTGGGAAACCTTCCACTGGCTATTCAACAGGTACAAAGAGATCAAAGGCTTCATATAAAAAACTTTAAAGAATGTAAATCATCTCATTCACAGACGTGTTCAAAAGCAGCTCATCAAAGGAAATAGAGCCAAGAAAATAGTTTATGTCGTTGAAGTTTGAGGCTTTGAAGTCATAATAGTATCCATCTCCCTGTGGATTTTAATTGCAGTGATTCTGTTGCAGTTTGGCTGAAACAACAGTGGTGGATAGTTATTATCCAACGGAATAAGCAGGTAGTCATCTTCATCTGGCTGAGTTATAGGAATCCTTGAGTGGCAGAATATCAAGTCAAGGGTGACATTATTGATATTATAAATGTTATTAAGCTGGTATAGATTGTGAAAAGCACATACTTCTGACATATGTTGTATTTTATTGATTTTAGTAGGAGCAAGGTAACTCTCCATATTATGGTGAGCCACCGAACAGATATCTTCTAAAGTCCAGCTGCCTTTGGGGAGATTGAAACCCTTATGATGCAATATTCAGTATGGCTGAATTGTTCAGAGATATCTTCCAAGTTGTTACTAAAGCTTTCGTACTTCTCAACTGGGGAGTTTGGTGGAAGGTATACGCAGCCCAGGACAGTTTTTTTTCCACCACTGCCTACAATGATAAAAACTTGCTCGATGTCACCTGTTGCACAAATGAGACGGGATGGTATTGACTGATGAGATAGAGACTAGAGATAATTTTCTAGCAAAGAATTAAATAATTACCAGTTCTTTGACATTCTATAGGCTACAGAAGGTCAGATAAAGTTTCATAATTTTCATAAATAAATTGTTTTCAATGCATTGAGAATGCTTTCCTCCTAGCCTCACGAATGGACCGAGGCAGTCCATTGAAAATCTTTGGTCCCATCACGGAGTTACATCTTTGATTTCTCTCAAATTTATGAAAGGGGACAGTATAAGGTGCCTGTTAATCATCTGCGTAGTTTTATATTGGTGATCCAAATAACCCTTTTCTTTCAGTTTAAAACAGAACACACAACTATAGCATGAAAGTACAAAGATCTAATGTTAGGAATTTTGTTATTATATAGGAACAAGGTGGGAAACAACCTGTCCTTTTCAAGTATGATTTTCAGGATATAATTCTGTATGGTGTTCAAAGTTTCTAGTGCGTTTTTGTAGAGTCCACCCTAGACCACTATTCCATAACATACCCAGTAAAGATTTGACAAGTGATTGATATATCATTATTAAGATTCCTTACTCAAGATATTTCTTATTAGGTGAAATTTGTGTATCAAGCATTTACTTAATTTATTTTCCATTTCAGATTTTTATCTTCAATTATCCCAAGATGTTTTATAAATTTGACCTCTTTTATAGTAAAGTTTGATTGATGATCAATGGTTATTTCATTGAAGATTGGTCAGTTGGTATCTGTCAGTGAAAAGGCCACATACACAGTTTTTGAAATATTCAATAAGTTTTATGTCCTGTCCTTATTCCCCAATCATCAAGTGATTATGTCTGACATTGTCAAATGCTTTTGCCCCAAAGTTTGCAGACTATACAGGGTGATGTACGTAGCATTATAGGTGTTGTAGAGTCTTGTGCTCAGTCTTGTGTGTAAAATTCATAGAAAGAGCTTAATAAAGTAGCTCATGAGATGATAATCCTTGCATGCTTTTCGGTTATTTGATTTTGATAGTGTATTAAAAGTAGAGCGGACCCAGTTCCAGAGCTGAACTATTGTTTTTATGTTTTGTTTGTTGATTAAGTGCAACGATTAAAGTGGAACGTCTCTGAATACATGTCATTAGGTCCCGGACCAATGATTGTTACTAGAGCTTTGTTGCTTTTCATTTGTATTCTGTTGTTTCATGGCATATATAATATCTGTAGTGTAAGTCTGAGGAATTACACGTTGAGTAAAAAGATTTTGTATTTCGTGCAAAATTTCTATAATTAATATCATTGCAGAGCGCTTTCGGCCATAGCCATCTTCAGTGCAACCTGAAAAAATATGTAAAAATTACCCTCTCGAGTGTCAAATTGACTTAAAAAATGAAAGTGAAAGTGGACTTATTCAAGAGTTCAGTAGAACTTAATAAGTTTTCTACCAAAGAAAGTTAATTTCTACTCACTTCGTCAGGTTAGTACATGCAGTCATCTCATTGAACATAGAAATGTAATATATAATATGATATAAGTACCTATATGATGATATATAATATCGACTTCGCTTTTTTTTTTGGTCCTAATTAGCTGGGTATCTTTCGAGTGGCGGCGATATGCATAAGCGGATGTAAGCGATGCTTAGGGGCCCATCCACGAAAGGGGCCACCGCTAAGGGGTCATTTAGTAAATTATATTGAAAAATGACTTGTTTTTTGATTCATCAGTTCGCAGATGATACTGTTATATTTTTCAGTTCTGATTCGCACCAAATGCTTTCCAGAACCCTCAATAGGGAATTGAAGTCTGTTTATGCTTGGTTGTGTGTAAATAAATTGAAGCTTAACCTATCTAAGTCAAAATGTTTAATAGTTGGTAGAACAAAAACAGGTAGGGAAATTTTTGTTAATAATTTTAGAATTCAAATGAATAACGAGAATATTGAATATGTGGACAAAATAAAATATCTTGGTTTTATTTTAAATAATCAATTAAGTTTAAATGATCATTTTGAATATATAATTGGTAAAATTGGTAAAAAGATTGGTTTTTTGTGTCGTTTGAGGTACAAACTATCAGTGCATACAAAGAGGTTAATATTTAATAGTATAGTAAAGCCACATTTTGATTACTGTGGATCCTTGCTTTTTTTTGGAAATAAGACTGATGTGGATAAATTACAAGTGCTTCAGAATAGAGCAATGAGAGCAATTTTAAATCGCGATTATTATGAACCAATTAAAAATATGTTAACTTCTTTAAATTGGCTTGACGTTAATTGTAGTTTCAAATATCAACTTTTGCTTTTCATTTATAAGATAGAACATGCACTGCAGCCTCCATATTTACAAGATCTCTTACAAAGAAATAATGAAATTCATAGTTATCATACAAGAAATCAGTACAATTTTCATCCATGTACAGGGTGCTGCAATTTGGAGTGTTTTAACAGGAAAAACACACTTCCAGACCAGATAGAGGAAAATTGACTTAGATGTCATGGGATCGATTTTCGAGAAACGTCGATTGTCAAAAACCGCATCGCGATATCTTCAATGGTACCATTAATACAGGGCGATTTTCGATTTTCCCCTATTATGAAAAATGGCTATAAGTTTTTTATTTATCAATTTTTTTCATTTCTGTAAAAACATTATGGAGACACTTTTTTGAGCACAATCCAGTGGCGGACTCGGTTTTTTTCTATATCGCTCCGATTTCGAGATATCGACCTCTTCCTTGCCAGCTCCCGATGCAACCAGAAAGTGGAAAATATGCAAAAGCATATCCCTTCCTATACCAAATTTCATTTTGATAAAACTTAACATCCTGAAGTTAAGTATGGGTTGCCTAATGGATTTGTTGACACCCAGTATAAATGGTTTTACCTAGGAAACAAATTTTCACTTTGTAATTTTTAATTTAATTGTGGTTCAAGTTATCAATTACAAGATATAAAGAGTGCATAAATCAAGACTTCACTTACTTTCCTACCCTAAGGGCCGATTCGACAATTCAAGTATATCCTGAGTATAGGCTATACCCAGCACCTTTTTTAGTTCTAAAATGAACTTTAATGCTAGGTATAGCATATACTTGAATTGTCCAACCGGCCTTTTATTCAGCAATATACAAATTTACCTTTATATCAATTTAACCCATAATAAAAAGAAAACAAAAAATAATTTATGAATAATCCTCTTGATCGTCACTATTATGAGCGCTCATAGCCATCGATTGAGCATGAGCCTGTTTAGCAGCAGCTTGCAATTGCTCCCATTGTTGCTGATCAGCATACGCTTGTTCTTGTCTAGCCTTGGCGAACAATTCTTGTTGCTGCCTCAACAATTCGTCTTCAGGAATCCCTAAATTTTCCAAACGCGTGCTTTGTCTTCTGCGTTTAGCAGCTACTGCTTTGCAGTCTTTCAAAACTGCTTCGGCTTCGGCGTGATAATCACTAAATCCCAATTTATCTAAAGCTAGAAGTTTGATGATGATTTTGATAGAAATTAAGAGGTTATCAACGTACCCATAAGAATGTGTTCAGCATTGATAGTTTTCTTATTCAATTGATTGCAAACTTCGTTGGCTTCCGAGCTGAGTAAATGAATAAATTCGGTGCAACAATTTAAAACTAATTCTCGGGCTTCATTTGCTATTCTGACCGAAGGTACTAGCTCTTTTATCATTTTATTTATACTTGCGCGAGGTAGGGTTAATTCGTCGTCCTCACTGTTTCCTGGGAGGTCATTTGATCTGCTTGAAGTCGACATGACTTTAGTAGAGTTCCTAATTATTACCAAAAAAATTAAATATAAAATGATTTATTATAATTTGGATTTGTTTTGTTTTCATCAAATAAAAACCAGCTGTTTCTGACTTCTCATTTGACAATTTGTGGGATTTGGTTGGGTGCCATGTTGCCAAACTACCCAATGTTAATAAGATATTTGCTTGCCATAAGTTATTTATCTGGCTGTTCTCGATTCGGAAAGTTCCCATGTTCCATTTTTTTTTGGATTCCAAATTAATGATAAAAATAGGATGTTTACTGAGAGGATTCACATGACGGAAAATTCCAAGTAGGGGCAAAAACCCTTCTTTCCGACCAATAGAAGAAGATAAATATTCAAACCGACCAATAGGAAAGTAGGATAGGTGGATAGGTTACCGCAATTTGTATTTTGAACAAAGCTCGGATTATTCATGACCCTCCTGTCAAATTTAGCTTTTCAATCAGCTGATTAGTTTTCTGTTTTTGTGTCATCAAAATCATCAAAATGAAATAATATTTATTTACTAGTGTGTGTGGGTTTTAAATTATTTATTACAGAGAAATCTAGAGTACAGTGAAGAAAAATGAGCGAAACCGAAGGTAGTCTATGGTGCTACCTCCCATATCCAGCCCTATACAAAATATTTCAACAGTTAACTTATCAAGACCTAATAGCAGCAGGAAAAGTTTGCAAACTATGGCTAGCAGCTAGCAGAAACGATATGCTGTGGAGGGATTTGTTTTATAAGAATTTCCTTATAAATAGATCTGTGCCAGTTGTAGCAGGTAAATTCGTAATGTTCTATAATCAATATTTAATAATACACTATGACCAAAAAAGGTAAAACATGGTACGAAGAGTTTAGAAGGCTCTGCTACGAAATCCCAGTGGTTCAAACAGAAATGTTGGAAGAGCACACTCATCAGGTGTTGCATGTCAGTTTTGCTCACAATGGAAAATACTTCGCTTCTTGTTCCAAAGACGGATATGTGACTGTAAGTGATATATTCAAGGCTTTCTTTATTTAAGTAAAAATTATGAGAAAACAATTAAAATCAACATTCTTACAGCTTATTGGAGTTTTTATTTGTCTTTGCTTGCTATCTGACAAATACAAAAAAATTAAGATTTGCCTATTGATTTAATGAAAGATTTTCACCTAAATGATGTCCTGTCGTTCCATGACCCATGAACAACTATAACTATAATACTGGAAGTTTGTTCTTATAATTATTTGACAGGTCATTTTATAGTATGTGTCCTATGTTAGAAGTGCTTTTCAACCTCAGTCTATGCAACTGAAGTTTAGAGTATCCTAGGGCTCTGTCCAGAGTCGTCGTTTTCCTGTGACGCAGTTTAAGCACTCCTGAACTGCTCTAGAGCTAGAGAGAGTTTATAGGCGTTCCAGTGCTTCAGAGTTTGGCACAACTGAACTGTTCGTTTTTCCCTTCCAAGCATCTGCAATTTTATGGGTGCATCAAAATCACGACGCTTAAAGTAGGATGCTTTCCGGTGAAACAACATTTCTTTGGAGCACCATAGTGTGGTTCTCTTTGCAAATGACACGAACAATAACATCATTTTGGTGAGTGGTGACTTCCTATACACATCTAACTGATATGGAACTTGAAGAGTTTTTTTGGCAACATTGCTCCTTGGTATAGCTAATGGTGAATTATGTCGATTATGTGTATTGTGGATGTTGGGATTTATACAATTTTCATATTTTTTGTGCACTAAGGATACAGTCTCCAAAATAGAAAGAATGGCAATGTGAGGAGTGCCTCCTGAACGAACAATGGCCTAGAACGGTCTCTAGGCTTCAATTTGCATGCATCTCCACAAGCGAGTTATATACAGACTGGATGACCCTAACTCCCTTGTGACAATACAAACAGCATAACATCCAGATGCCATTTTCGTCCTCCATAGAATAACTCGAGGAATAACTTATCGACCGAGGGGTTTCTCACCTTACAAAATTTGTACACCGATTAACAGTACCTAATAACAAGTTATTACCAACTATTTGCCTGTATTAACAAAATATTTCCACATATTGCCAGGCATTTCCCTAGTATTATCACATATCACCAAGTATTGCCATGACAGAATGATAGATAGATAGATAGATAGATGTTTATTTCCAAGGATCACATACAGGATATAGGAAAATATTTACAGATAAAATTTGCATTACATACTAATCAATAACGTAACATTATAAATAATTAAATACCTATTTATAACAATAAGCATAAGAATAATCAAATAATATACCTATTACAATTTTTATGAAGTATTCTTTCATATCTTCCACTGCGTAAAGTTTAGAAACTCCTCCACTGTATAGAATGCATTTTCCAATAAAATATTTTTAATAAAACATAAGAACTCATTCTGATTTAATTGACGTTTGCTAATAGGTATCTTGTTATACAAAATAGCCCCTATGTAGTAAGGATTTGCTTTGTAAAGCTCAAGACGATGAACGTCATATTGATAATCAAGTCCAAATCTAGTTGTGTAATCATGATGCAGATTTAGAGCTTTAAAAGCATTTGAGTTATCCCTTACAAATTTCAAGATTTCGAAAATGTATAAACAAGGCATAGTCATGATTTTTTCAGAAATAAATTTTTGTCTACAAGATTCCCTAAACTTCATATTATACATTAATCGAATAGCCCCTTTTTGCATTATAAAGACTCTCTGTGAAGCAGAGGTTGCACCCCAAAGCACAATCCCATATCTAATACATGATTCAATAATTGAAAAATAAAACATTCTTACAGTGCTTCTACTTGTTATTTGAGACAGACGATATAAAGCAAAACAACTCTTTGCACACTTATTGCATACATAATTTATCTGCTCTCTCCAGTTTAATGACATGTCAACATGGATACCCAAAAGTTTCACAGTATTAACCTGCCTTATTGATCTGCCATTCAAGAGAATGTATTGACTTTTATTGTAATTTGCCTCATAAGGATGAAATTGCATTGTGTAAGTCTTTGCCTGGTTAAGCACCAGTTTATTATTACAAAAATAATTAGATAAAAAATGCAGGTTATCTGTCAAACCCTTTTTCATAATTTGTTCATTGAGATCAGAAGATAAAAGTGTAATATCATCAGCAAATTCACAATGCAAAGTTGTTAAGATATCCGATATATCATTCACGTACATGAGAAATAGGAGGGGACCAAGAACACTACCCTGTGGTACACCAACCTCAACATTTAACTGGTCAGACATAGCTCCATTACATTGCACATATTGTTTACGATTACAGAGATATGATTTTAATAATGAGTAACAGTTACCACGAATTCCGTAGGATTGAAGTTTTTGCAAAAGCAGGCCGTGGTCCACACAGTCAAAAGCTTTAGTTAAGTCCACAAATAGTGCCATAACTTTCTTGCTTTTGTCTAGATTTTTATAGACATTATCTAAAATATAACATAGTGCAGAAATAGTCGATCTTTTGTCGCGGAAACCATGCTGGGTATTTGATATTAGATTATTTGAATTTAAAAAGTTTAAAATGCGTTTAGATATAATTTTTTCAAATATTTTTGAGAATGTTGATAAAAGCGATATAGGGCGATAGTTTCCCATATCATTTGTATTATCTTTTTTATGCAAGCAGATAACTTTAGATACTTTCAAACAGTCTGGAAATGTTGCCTCTGAAAAACACAAGTTTAGAAGAGAGCAAAGGGGTTTACATAGTTGATCTTTACAGCTTTTAATTAAAGATGATGAGAATTCATCAGGGCCGGTTGAGTTTGTATTTTTTAAATTATTAATTGCTTGCATCATTTCAGTCTCTGAAACATCGTGTAAGAAAATGGTACTCTCAATCCCAGATACAACATTGTGCTGGGGTATTCTATTTATATTCTGATTTTCTTGGATTTTCAAGGGTATATTAATGAAAAAGGAATTAAAGAGGTTTGCAATTTGACTAGGATTTTTGTATTCAATATCATTACAGATAATACTTTCAATTTCAACTTTCTTCTGACTTTTTGTTGTAGAATTTATAATGTCCCAGACGGTTTTTGATTTGTTTGTGGATAAGGACAACTTGTTATCATAATACATACGTTTAGCTAGCTTTAAAGTTCTTCTGTAAATATTTTTATACTGTTTGTAAAATTCTGGAGAGAGTTCTCCTTTTAGTTGTTTATAGAAAAGTTTTTTCAGATTTTTTGAGGAAGTACGTATACCTAATGAGAGCCATTGTTTATTGGTGTTATAGTTTGTTACTTTCATTTTTACTAGAGGGAAACAAATGTTAAAGTAACTTTGCAAGGTATTAGTAAAATAAATCATGCTGTCATTGACATTACCATTACCCACAACCAAAACATCCCAAGAGTGTACATTTAATAATTGTCTAAAATATGCCTTGTTTCTTTCCGAAAAAGCTCTTTTTAGGGTGGTGGTAGGAGTTGCATTCGAGATAACGTGAAGACTAATTAGTTGAAAGGTATGGTCAGATAGGCCATTCTCAGAAACTTTTTTATCTAGTAGAAGGGAGTTTATATTTGTACATATATAATCAATGGCAGTGGATGAGTTTCTGCCTACACGAGTAGGTACATTAAACACTGGAATAATATTGAAAGAATTTAAAATGTCTAGAAGTTGAAACTTATCTGAGTTATCCTGGAATAAATTAATATTAAAATCACCAGTTATAATAGTACGACTATAAGGAAAGATCCTGGTTAGGTGCTCTAGGCACAGCTCAAGTTGTACAAAGAAACTAGCCTTTTGGGATAGTTTTGTGGGAGAAACTGACATATCCACAGGTATTTACATGTTATTAATGGGTATCAACCAATCACATTTATTTATTTATTTATTTATTTATTGCCGGACAAAATGTCCATTTTTTCTTTACAAAAATTCACAGTGAGAAATATTATACACTAATACTTAGCCTAAACCTAAGCCTAAGGTTGGTAGCTTAAAACTATGTTACAAATTATGAAAATAAATAAAAATATAAAAAATATATAATTTAATTACAATTACAATTTAGACCCAAGCAATAATCACTTATGGATACAGGACTGGAATAACCTGGAATAACCTGAGACAGCTGTCTGAGGAAATGGTTCTCTGTGCAAGTGAAATCAAGCTCAGGAAATCTGTTGGCCAGAGACATGGCTCTAGGGAGAAAAGAGTTTTCACTATAGTTAGTACGACAAAATGGTACATTAAAGAACAGATCATTACGAGTATTAACCCGAGGAACATTTAGAGTAATCTTACCAGTGAGTTGCGGACAATCAATCATTGAATTGAACACTCTAAAAAGACAATGAAGATCATGGAGATCCCTGCGAGTCTCCAATGGAAAGAGATTCAACTCTCGATAAAGTACAGGATATGTGCTCTCATTGTTGAAAAATTTGTAGTTAATATGGCGAAGAAACTTCCTCTGAACTCTCTCGATTCTTGAAGAATGTATTTGATAGTATGGAGTCCACACAGAGGACGCGTATTCTAGATGAGACCTAACAAGACTGCAAAAAAGAATCTTAAGCGTACGGATGGAGGCAAAATCATGAGTGTTCCTCTTTATGAACCCGAGCATCCTAAAAGCTTTGTTCACTATGACAGTAATGTCCCAAGTAGCACATAATATGGGGTAAACATCGTTTTTCAGTTGGGCCAATATTTATTCAATTTTGTTGTTAAATCAACACAGTACCAATATTGGGGCAACGTTAGTTTTAACTATGTGGAAACAATATTTAAAAATAATCTTGTACCAATATTGTTTTCATAGATTAATTAACTTTTCAGTAATTTGAATATTGGCCCAAGACTTTCTCACTACAATATTGATTAATGAAATATTGGCCAAATATTACATTTTATATTATCGAAACAATATTGTAATATAATATTAATTCAATATTGGCATTCAATTTTTTATTGATATTTAAATTCACTTCAAAAACTTTGTACTCCCAATATTTATTTTCAATTTTTTCACAATATTGATACTTTTTGAAAAGCCCAATGAAGGGCCAATATTTACATACTAATTTTTACCAAGGTTAGATTTTCTGTATTGAAAATGTTGGTCCAATATAGGGTATTCAACGTGCGCACTTGGTGTGCCGACCAAAAAATAGATGGAGACTCTGTCTTCACTTCACCTGTCTTAAACCTGGTTCCGGGATGAAGCCAAAAATTGGTTGTTTTCTCTCTGCGGGACCCTGGCGGGACTTAACCGTGCTGATGAGTTGTGATACAGCGAAATGGGTCCACGGATGGTCCGGCAGAGAGAAAACACTTCTTAGTCGGTCCTTATAATTGGTCCGTTACCTTAATTAAATATAATATAAAGCCAAGATTTACATACGTCTTCGGGCCAATATTGGTAATTTCAATTGGCTCTATATTGCATAAAGTTCTTGATATGATATTGATTATTTCTTTTTGGGCCAACATTTGGTTACGTTATTGTACCAACGTTGGTATCTATTTTTGGGTATATATTGACATACGTTCTTGGACAAATATTGCAGAATGTCCACATCTTTTATTGGACTAACATAGAGGATCTGACTTGGGTCAATAAATCGTAGTTATTGTCCCAATATTGGCCCAACATAGGAGTGCTGCTTGGGATCAACATAAGAGAGTTCAGGGTTAAGCATGATACCAAGGTCCTTTATAGTTTCAGTTGTTGTAAGAACGTCATCCTTAATGAGATAATCAAAGTTAGTTTTTACTCGTTTTCGCGAAAAAATCATGAGTTTACACTTGGACGCATTTAGCTCCATTCCATTGGAATCACACCATTCCACAAATCCATTTAGGTCGAGCTGAAGGTCCAGACAGTCAGCAGGACTGGAAATGACTCTAAATGTCTTTAGATCATCTGCAAATAAAAGGATGCTGCAAGAAACAAAACAAGATGCCGCATCATTTATAAAGATATTGAAAATTAGTGGAGCCAGATGTGAGCCTTGTGGAACTCCAGAGGTCACTGGTATTTCAGAGATACAAAATTGTTAACCCTGACCTTCTGGACTCGACCAGTCATGTCAGTCCGAATCCAGTTGAGCATTGGACCAGAGATCCCACATGTTCTCAGTTTGTTGAGTATGATGTTGTGAGGAACTTTATCAAAAGCCTTAGCGAAATCTGTATATATTGGGTGAACCTCCAGTCCCCTTTCCAGTGCCCCTGCAATACTAGATGTGTAGGACATGAGATTCGATTCCGTACTTCGACCAGCACAGAAGCCAAACTGTTTGTTAATTATCAAAGGTGATAGCATTGATGATAGAAATCTCGCCACTAGTTTCTCAAACAATTTTGGTATTGCACTCATAATACTATAGGTCGGTAGTTTTTTATATTAGATTTATCACCTGATTTATGGATAGGAATGACATAACTGATCTTCCAAATGTCATTATGACACTATATTGCCAAGATATCTAGAAATATTGACATATATTACCTACATAATTAACAAGTAGGTATTGCATAGTATTGACACTATTGATTGACATAGTATTTACCTGGTATTGACATATATTAACCAGTGATTTGTACACCGATCAACAAGGTGAAAAACCCCTAGGAAATACCTTTATACCACATCGTATACGTTCCAGTTGCCTCTGTACGTATTTTTACTGGGGCAACTGGAAACCAAGCTGTGTTTCCATTACTTGAAATTTTAAGCTAAGAACAAACCTGACTTACCTTCACAACATCTTTCTCTTCCAATTGAACATGCTCAATGCAGTGTTATTAACTGTGATCACTCACTAACCATTAATTGAAATCCAAACTTCTGTCACTTGTTGTTATGATACACTTTGTAAAAGTAACAAATTTCAATGTCTCAGGAACTAATCCGGCGTTGTTCTTTCTACTACATGAAGGGTATGAATGAGACACACTTGTAATAAAGTTTTATGCATGGGAAATTCAAATTTCAATAATAATCTGAAAACTGGCATATGGCCCAGTATACCTCGCTGTGTCAGTTAACCAAGTTGACCAATACTTGGGAATATGAGAGGGAATACTTGGAAATGGGGTCCAAATTTGAGATGCATTTCCAGAAACTGGAAATCACTATACGTTTTTTCGCTAGTGGTTGACCCCTCGTAAATACCAAATTTTCTCCGCACCCCTTCGATAAGTGTTATCCAAATGCTGTAATATGGAGACCAAATAACTCTACCATATTCTAACATTGGAAAAACCAGGCTGTCGAAAAGACAGAAGCTAACTTCAATATCAATTTCTCTGGTGGTTCTTGAAATAAAACCTGATATTTCATGGGCACTTTCAATCATAGTTATTATGCGATTAGAGAAGGACAATGAAGTATCAAAGATGATTCCGAGATCTCTTTGTTGGGTCACTCTTGGAAGATTATTGTTATTTAGTGAATAGTCAAAAGCATCCCTATTTAAGGTAAAAGACATACACGCAACATTTACTCACGTTTAAGCTAAAGCCATTTGTATCACACCAGAATCCCACATTACAGACGTCATTTTGTAAAATTTCACACAATCATTGATGCTGATTTGAAAACAGCATTTGAAATCATCAGCTAATAATAGACACTTTGCATTTTCAATATTACTGATAAGTTATTAATAACTATTAGAATAAAAGTGGTCCAAAATTGGAGCCCTGGAGGTTCGCAGAGGTACTGCTGACTTGCACCCCTTAATCTTCACATTCTGATACCTATATGGCTGAGGTAAGATTGAATTAAATTTACAATAATACGGATAAAAATCCAACTCGGACAGAACCATTTGCTTTCTACGTGACGAAAATGCCACTCCCCTAAAGCCAAACTGATACATTTTTTGCAGAATTATTCTGTGATTCACGCAAGCAAATGCTTAAGAAAACCGCTGCAGCCATACTTCCCCGATTTAGACCGACATACACATTCTCTAAAAGCTTAAACTTCGCATCACAAGTACCCTGGCATGAAAATCTTGAAATCCAAACTGACTAGTCAGGACATTGTGATTAGACATAAAGGTTATCATTCTTTTATTTACAAGCTTTTCAATGATCTTTGAGTGCGTTGGTAACAATGAGATTGGACAAAAATCACCATCCGCAAATAGCGGAACAACAGCTGTCTTGAGACTAGAACGAAAACAAACATCATCGAAGAATGATTTATTAACCTTATCATCACGTCCAGAGTCTGATGGTGGAAGGCCTCAAACACTCTTAGTGAAAAATTATTTATACCAGAGTTCTTACATTTTATCTCTCCAAGAATAATACCACATCACTTTTCATCAATCAAATAAAAATTGTTCGGTACAAAAACCTCCTGCAGGTACAACATTGGATTGATTTGCAGGTTTAAATTTGCTGTTAGTTCGTCAGCAACAGAACGATAAAAAGTCTTCAATGTGTTATCGTCAATACCCTATCCTCCCAGATATTTTTTCATTATAATATCAAAATTTTCTCCTATCTTTCTCCAATTACTTTTTGTTTTGATTTTTATTGTTTCGAATTAAATTTAAGAGTTCCAGATTACCAAATAATTCCAATCCTCTAATTTATGATAAATTTTTTTATTTTTTATTTATTTAGGTAGAAAATTACATTCCAACTTTTTTCATCAGCTAGAGTAAAGACAAATTAAACTTTCATAAATCTGTTTAGTGTGCCTGAAGTTGAATCAGCATCTCCCTGAACTCACTGAAAGCTGTCCAGGCACACTGAGTACTGTTTTTAAAATACCACTTGTTTTTTTTAGGTCTGGAATTCCAATTATCCAGCCACAGTAAAATACAGCAAAAACATGAAACTTTTCAAATGGAAATATACACAATATTCTCAGTTCAATGAAACAGATACTTTACTATTAGTATCTGGAGTTCATTTTGGAACCACTCATAGTACTTCTGGTGAAATTGCTGTTTTTAATTTAGGTAAAACAAAATTACATTTTTCTAAAACCCCCAAACGAATAATATACATATTATTTTCCAGATGGTTTTACGTTACAATCTAGGGTAGTCAACAAACCTTACGATATTTTTGGCACTTGGTACAGTGACCAGTATTTGCTTTCCGGTGATTTGCATTGGTTGGCTCATTTAGTGAGCAGCTCACATTTGTGGCTGAACAGAGCTACACAGGAAGCTGATTCAGAATTGGTTCCCATCACTCACGGTCTCTTTAGATTCTACAACAGAAATGCCAGTTCAATTAGAGACATCATGATTGCCAATTGTTTACCAAACTCTGAAAATATCGCTTTGGAAGAACCGGAATACTCTGGAGTGCCTGTAGATCAAGGTGTGATATTTGAACATGGCAACCCTGTAAGTCATAGAGATATCGGCAATGTTTCAAAACCCAGCAAGTCAGTTTTTGATGAACTACCTGTTGTAAACCCTACGAGTAGTAGTGATGAGTTTGCTAATCCCATATGGTATAGTTCTGATTATAGAAAAGTGGAAATGGAGCAGAGTGAAGCTGCTGCAGACGATAGTGACTATGAAATGGATCAAGATGATAATAATAAAGATGAAGGCTTTGATGATGACGATCATTCAGCTTCCAGTGACGAAACCGATGCTCTAAGTGATAAATATTTGATTTTTACTACTGGCAATAAAACATATACCCCGCACCAGATCGGGTTCAAACGAATAAAACCGTTTGTGTTTCCTAAAAAATTGGACCCCGGCCCATCTTTAAAGGAAAGATTAATCTTGCACGAGCAAAGAAAAGAACAAATGAGGTCTGCAAGTCCTTCACAGGATCCTGACTGGTTGGATTTTGAAAAAGTAGCCAATAAGTTTGATAAAATTGATCATCTCATTGATTTACACGGGCATATTGTTGGAATGGGACTCAGTCCAGATCATAGGTAAGATTTGTATAGCAATATTTTTATATTTTTGTTAAAAATTATGCCCCAACTTTGAGATGGCTGCATCTCTAAACTAAACTAAAACTCTCAACAATTGTCCTCAATTTGCTTAGAGGGTTCCTAAGAGAATGGACTGGAAAGCAGAAACTAATTTGTACTTTTGTAAAATATTTTAGTAGGTTTTACTGCATGTGGCTCATTTTGACTCAGACATAAAAGAAGTACATCCTGTTTCAGATCTTTTGAAATGGTGCATTTGTTTCTTTTTAGGTATCTCTATGTAAACAGTAGATCTTGGCCTGAAAACTATGTAATAACAAATCCTCTGGACCCGCCTCCAATAGCCCAAGAAATCGATATTCACGTGATCGACTTAGTGACACTGAAACAAGTAGGAACCATGTTTAGGGCGCACCAAGCCTACACACCAAATAACGAGTGTTTTTTCATCTTTCTTGATGTTTGTAACGAATACGTGGCAAGGTAAGGCCCAATTCCCTTGAATGCAATGTATAATTGTAGATTTAAAAATTTAGTGGTGCCGAAGATAAACATGGTTACATGTGGGACAGACATTATGGAGTTTGTCTTGCAAAGTATCCTCATGTAGATGTGGTCAATTCTGTGGCTTTCAACCCAAAGGATCCTGAAATGTTGGTGACAACGTCTGATGATTTTAAAATTAAGATATGGCGTTCCAGGTCGAAGGTTAAGGAGTTGGGTTTGGACGTTAGAGATTTGCCTATGGGTGTGGAATTAAGAAAAATTGTTAAGAAAAAAGGTAAAATTTGATGATTTTGGTGGCTTTAATTTTTCTTGACATATAATTTTGTTCAGGTCGTAGCACAAGAGATAAAGGTGCAGCGTATCCACCACACATGTCTAGATAATAATAATGAATTACGAGTTTCTGGTATACAAGGTGTTTGGTACTTTGTTAGAAAATTTTCAATGTTTGTTTAACATCTATTGGCTATATAAAAATTTCTGTGGAATGCTTATTTTGTATCTTTTAAAATGATCTTTATATTACGACTTGTTTGTAGTTGTCTTGAATAAATCTTGAAAATGTGTTCCAACTCAGTGAGAAATCTAAAAAAAAATATTCAAGACCGCTTAATCCATTTAGTAAGTGTGCGTACAACACCGCAGGATGTAAAACTGTCTATCGCTTTACCAAACAGCCTGTATACCAATTAGCTTTTTTAACTGAAACAAAAAATACTCGTGAAATCTAGTAATGTAATAATTTTAGTTGTTATACATTTATACATACTGGGGTAGGTTATCCAGAGCATAGCAAATTTTAGCTCAGAAGAGATATGAAAACAAATTACTGCAATTGTGACTCATCTTAGGCTAATTTTTCAATCAGAATGCATAGAATTTGTTATGCAAATCTCTTCTGCTAAATTTTAACCATGGGCCGGCCACTCAGTATAATGGTGCTTATACACTTTTAAAAAAATATTATATAATCTGTTAGGCTTCGTTTTTGTACAAATATCAAGAGCCCCATTGCTGATAAACCACAATATTATACCTTTTATTTATTTATTTATTTATTTATCTTTTTATTGTTATTCTCAATCACTGAAACAATGTTTTTGTCTCAAGGTCTTCTGTGTGCTTTATTTATTGTTTTATGAATCAAATTTTAGGATTCTTGGTAGCACGTTCCAGTTCAGTTTGTGTATTCAAATACTCAATTTAATCCATTGAATAATACAGGGGTTAATTTGAGTTGCCTCTGCCTATTGCCAACTAGTAGCAATTTTTTTTTGCAAATAAATTTCTGTGATCTTCAATTTTGTGTCTTATTAAAAACAAACGCCTTTATGTATTTTATCCTCAAAATAAAAAAAAAGACTTGGGCCCAGTTTATTCATCGTCAGATAAACTTATTGGTAACTATCTGCAAGATAAATTTACCGTTTTATAATTCTATTGGTGGGCAGATAGTTGCCTGACCAATGGGACAAAAATCTTGATAATTTGGAAATATGCCAGCACTGTTATATCCCTCTGGTTCTTGTGGGGCATTTACTTACGTCGCATTGAAGGGTATCCTTAACTGTGCGGACTATGACTAGACCTATGCGCCCACCAGGTTCCCCCACAGAATGTTACCTTCTGCAATTTCTATTAACCTGACTTTCTTGTGATATCACCTCTTCCCACTTCTATTATCCTATAACTATTTTTCCGAAATAAGTGAAATTTTTCTATGTAGCAGACATCGTCGGTAAAATAATGCAACTAATAATTAATTCAACTTAAAAAATATATTCAATAAATAAAAAATTGGTTACACCACATCTAACAATGACGCAAAGAGTTGTTTTTCTTTTGAGCGCATAGGTAACATAATCATGTTTTTCCTTTAAATTAATTATCACTTATCACAGTTAATAATAAAGTAATAACTCCTTAATTATTGTTACCAAAAGGTTTTCACTCGGAAGTTGTGTGTGTAGGTTCTCCAGATGAGCTTGGGGGTTCTTCGATTACAGACTCTGTTCTGCTGCAATTATCTTCACTAGCTTCAAGACTGTCAGATTTCTTCTTTTTATCTACATGACCTTGGCAATGTTCACACTCATCATCAGACGAATCCGATGAGCTTTCCCCAAATTTTAGAGGTTTATTGAAAATGCAGCAACATTTTGATTTTTTCTTGCCCATGTTTTCGTTGTCCACTGTTTCTGTACTCCATTGAACTTTTCTGTCGGTTTTTGGCTTTTTCAGTTTCACAGTTACTCTGGGAACAGCATGATCCTAGAAAAAGTTACATATTATTATTTGATGAGACTTAAAAAACAAATTTTAGCTATCATTTGATGAGAGTTGCACTGTAAACAATCAACATAGTTCTTGTATAGATGAGGTGTGCAATAATAAATATTTGCACTTATCGCTCCTACTTTGCTAATTTATCTCTTAAACCCTTCATGTGCTGTGGATTACAACCCAAAAACAATTTGGGGTAGGTTAAGAATGTTTAAGCTAGATTCCACTTGTGCATAAACAAGCAGAGAATTTTTTCTTTATTTCCTGGAACTTGTAGCAGTTCTTGATCGACAGTTAATATGGCTAAATTGCAGCCTAAAGTTCAATTTGAAAAGCTATTTTTGTTTTTGGAAATTTTTTAATTGTAAGAGTGCAGTTGGAGGATTTAACAAGGTCAAAAATTATACCTACTGATAAAATTTTTTTATTAAAAATAACATTTACATTTACAATAACATCAAAAGCCTCATTTTGTGTAATAAAAGATAAATAAAACCAACCAAAATAAACAGATAACAATAAGTAAGTATTTACAAAACCTACTAAATCAAAATGTTTAAATCTTAATCAAACCACAGGATTTCTTATCGTTAAGCAATTATTTTCTGTAATTTTAATTCTTCAATTTTCTTCTCGGTATATCCCAATACATTAGACAAAACCTCATTGGTATGCTGGCCTAAAGTAGGAGGGGGACTTCTAATTTCATTACCCCCTTGACTATATGTGACTGCTGGTCCTACTAGTTTAATTTTTCCTTCTGCATAATCCAAAGTTTTAACTATATCAATATGTTTGACATGAGGGTCATCAAAAGCAGCTTCTAAGTTGTTTACCGGGCCATTAGGAAATGATGAATTAGCAAAAATAGCTTGCCATTCTTCATTAGTTTTTTTAACAATTATTTTTGTTAGTACTTCTATTAGTTCTTGTCTATTTTGCACCCTTTCCTTATTGCTCAAAAATTTTTCATTACTAGCCAAATTCGCATGATCAATTAAATTGCAAAACTCCAAAAACTGCTTATCAGAGCCCGCTCCTATAGTATAATAACCATCTTTAGTGGGAAATGCTTGATAAGGCACTATACTCGGATGAGCTGTGCCCCAACGAACAGCCTCTTCTCCTGCATTGAGGTAATTAGATCCAATATTGATTAAAGTTGCAAGTTGGGTAGAGAGAAGATTACAATCAATTTTTTGTCCTTTTCCTGTTTTTGAACGTTTTATCAGAGCTGCCAATATTGCACCATGAGCATATAGACCTAATAAAGAAAAAAAGAATGTTAATTAACCTTGATTATGAACATGAAGGTTGTAAATACCCCAATAAATGCCATTTAAATCAAAACTGTTCAAAATTCAGGTAGGTACTTAATTAAAAATCCTCAAAATATTTGAAGCTCTATTTCTCAGCTTGAGGTTCAAGCACAGTTGGGTGTCTTTTGAGCTTGGTAAGGATTCATACATCAATTATATGTGCTTGTGAACTTTTTGCTAGATATGTTTTACATTAAACTCTTGTCCAACAATGCTTCAACCTCTAACCTCAAGTTTAAAAATTAGGCTTTCCTAGAATCTAGTTAAAGAAAACTTTATACAAATAAGTGGATAGTTATATAGGGTGATTTACGTAGTCCATGCATCACAGGTGGATTAGATGCTATCTCTACTAATCCACCTGCAATCTGGAAAACTTTTAATGCACAGGCTATGTGAATCACAGTGTATAGTGGGCAAATCTGTTAAAATATTTACCTGTAGCTAAATCTACCATTGCCACACCAACTTTACAAGGTTCTCCATCCTGTGGTCCAGTAATATGCACTAATCCACCTATAGATGAGGCAATTAAATCATAACCAGGTCTAGTCCTATAAGGCCCTTCAGGCCCAAAGCCAGTTATCGAACAATAAATCAATTGGGGAGCTATTTTCTTTAGGTCACTGTAACCCAATTGGAGTTTATCCAGTTTACCTGGCACAAAGTTTTCAACCAAAACATCTGACATTTTGGCTAAAGAATAAATTATTTCCCTGCCTTCTTTTGACTGGGTGTTGATGCATATGCTTTTTTTATTGCGATTCAAAGCCACAAAATAAGCAGAATCTTTTGTGTCGTTTATAAAAGGTGGTCCATATAGTCGAGCCTCATCTCCTGAGCCAGGTTTTTCGATTTTGATTACTTCAGCTCCCAAATCTCCTAGTACCATGGTACAATGAGGACCTGCCACTATCCTCGTCATGTCCAAAATTCGAATACCTTCTAGTGGAGAAGCGTGTAGGGATCTTGTTATTGATTTATTTATGCTACGTCCCACAAAACGGAAAATACACAAAGTTGTTGAAGAAAACATTATCTCGGCACAAAATTATTTATAGGCGAAGCAAACTGTTTACACGACACGGTAGTTCAAAAGGACTGATATGGAAATTATTTACTAATAACATTTTACAGGTTACCTGTTCATCAGCAGTCTCGACCAAGGTCTGGCTCGATGTTGAGGCGTCGGCTTGTTGCGGAGAGGGCACTGAATCTGACATGATTATTAATATTACTTTAAATTTATACTTTATATATATTTTTTTTTATGTTTTGCTCAATTTCATTTCAAAAATTAGGCAATTAAGTTATTGGATTATTTGGAAAAAAAAAGCGCCACACACAAATGTTATGTTATGTGTTATGTTTTGGATTTCGTTATGATGGTTATGATTACAGTGACTCTTATGATGACACAATTGACACATGTACAATTGACGTGACGCCACGTTACAGATTTCTGTAATGAATATACCAAAATATTTGTCAGTTTGCTCCGCCAGATTATCCTGAATAATAGACCTATCTCGCAGGATTAGAAAAAGAGAGCTTAATTATAATAAATACAAGTTAGAAAATAATGAAAGATGACATGCGCACGCAACTCGTAGGCTGCAGTGTAGTCAGATTGTATTGTTGCAGAACAAATGTAGACAATACAAATCGAATATTATTATAACATTAAAGAAGTAATATAGTGTCAAGTGTTTTACAACGCCTTAAATCAGACAACAGAAGAGCTTGAAAGTGGATGAACATCGTTTGCACCTTTATTTTGATAAATGTTTCATCCGGCAACATCGCTCAATGAAATTGCAAAGGAATATGTCAAGTATAATCTAACATAACTTTAAACGATACTGCGGTGAGTTCAAGTAATATGTAAAGTATTAGTTTGCTCTTTGTCGAATTACACATTACAAAGAAAGAAGGGACGATTAATTCTGAAATAGCTCCTGAATAAGAATATGACGCAGGGCTGTCACAAACTTGTTTCTCATTGGACGCTCACCTGCAGCCTACAAGCGACGCGCGCAGTTCAGGTAATAGGAGATCGGTCTATTAGGCAATTCAATCCATCTGTCAAAACGAAAAATTCAATATGGCGTGGCGGCCAGCAAGTTTGTTTTGAATATGTGTTTTTGTGCATATTGTAATTATTTTGCTTCGAGCTTTGCTTGCAGCTGATTATTCAATAAAATATTTGCTTACTAGGTACGTAAAATATTAAGTCGGGCAGAAACTAGAATTTTTTTTGTGTTTTTTGGACCATGTGTGGTCGCCACGCCATCTTGAATGTCACGTGGTTTAAATTGCCTAATTTTATGCTCTTTGCTCTCACCCTAGTCTCTCTGCCCTATTTGTAAATATCTGGAAATTTTTTTAGAATCTATAGTATTTCTATGACTATAAGTTTGCGTATTGTCTGTAAATGATTTATTTATTTATTTAAAGTTACATCTTACATACACCAATGACCAAGAAGTAATTAATACATGCAAGAGAGTGTCTATTCTCTAGTGCATGGAAAGTACCTGCTAGGTAACAACCAGACGTTTACCAGTCAGTCCATAATTTAGCCCTAAGGACCATAATAATTAGGCAATCCATCCAATCACATCCAATCCAATGAACTATCCAATCCAGCTGTCAGGCACAAAATTCAATATGGCGTGGCGGCCAAGCAAGTTTATTTTAAATAGGTATGTGTTTTTTACTCGTATTTTAGTTATTTTTTGGTTATTTTACTTCGAGTTTTGCTTGCAAGTTTGATCTTGATTATATAGGGCCGAATTTATAATCGTTCCTTGAGGTTTATTCCTCAGACCTTAAGGAAGCCTTGAACGTTTAGAATATATATGACTAAAGCCTCATTTACACAGTGCAAGTAGCTTCAGAAAGTACTAACGCCAGTAGCTAAATTATCTTTTTCTCCGAATGACAGTAAAAGCGGCCTTTTAATGACACTTGACAGGATCAAAAGTTGTATTTTTACTGCCTAAGCAGTAAAAGTGGACTTTTACTGCCTATAGGCATTAAAAGTGACAGTGTCACAACGTTCCAGGTAATAATTTCACTCAATTTAGTATTTGAAATTGATGGTGACAATGACAATTGTCAAAATAATTTAATTATTTGGATAATAATAATGAATGAAATAAATATAAAAAAGATGTCCATGTGTGAATTTGAACATTCGGAGAAAAAATTATATGTTTTACATGGCAGAAAAGTAGATTTAATACCTCGGCTGGTTTCCTAGCCTCGGCTATGAAACACCAGCCGCGGCATTTAATCTTGTACTTTTCTGCCTAGTAAAACAAATAACTATTGTTTTCGTGCAAGTGAGTGTCTACATGCATTTTACTGATTTTAAGTCGAATTTAGTGATTAGTGCAAATTGAGGTGAAATGGCAGCAAGTACAGTTGTTCGAAAAGAAATTCAAAAATGCATTTTGAGTGTTTATGGAGATTTATCAGAAATTTTATTGAAAGAAATTGAAAAAGAAAAAAGTTGTTGGGTTCGACCATGTATATCTCGTAGAGAAACACATGGTGCATGTTCCACATTATTGCTTGAACTGGCTAAGGAAGATCCATAAGAATATCGAAATTCAGTGGCGGACCTAGAACATTTGGGGCCCGACGCGAAAAATTTTTTGGGGCCCTGTCCTGTCATGCTTTTTTTAGGTATTTTTCTTCGTGGTGTTGGGGTTTGAGGTCAGTGTGCGAAAGTTATTTGTATTTTTGAAGTTTTTTACAGCCAAATATAAAAACAAATTCAATCAAAATAGTTATTTTTGTATCAAGGGCGCGAAATGCTACTTTGGTGATCGAGATCTGATTTTTTTAACGAGGCGCAGCCGAGTTAAAAAAATAGTCGAGATCACCAAAGTAGCATTTCGCGCCCGAGTTGCAAACAATATTTTTTCTACAACTCCATTTAAATATCAATCATTCGAAGCCAAAATTGCATTTTCAATCAAAGGTAGGTGAATTTTAATTATTTTTGATTTCCTGACAGGTATGTGTCACCATGACACCCAGTGTGCGAACTAGCTATTTCGCGCACTCGTGCGCGAAATAGCTAGCTCGCGCACGGCGTCATGGGAACGTTAAAAAATCAATACCTGGGAAAAAAAGTGTCACTTCGCAAACTGTCATGAGTGTGCGAACATCATCATTTTTTGACAGTTGTAGAAAAAAGATATTTGTCAAAATTCAGGAACTTTTACCATAGGAAATGTTTATGTTCTCGCGTATGGTCTATCGATGGAAGTTGCATGACGAGTGCGTAGCCCGAGTTGTGTATCTCACTGACCGGGTCACTGACTGACGTAGGTAAATATATATTATGTGTTAAATAGGTTCCATATAATGGTGTTATCATTTCCCAAGTCATTTCCAATGTCTCCGATGGTAGCAAGGATTGCGAAATCTGTGAATTTTTATCTAAACAAAAAGAAATACAACATAGTAGTACCGTACTGTACTGTCGGTGCCATAAATTATATCTGGAGTCTGGAAGACTATAGCTGAAACAGCCGTGTAAAGCCGACGCGCCCTTCGCGTCCGCGGTTGCCGCATCGCGTCGAGGGCAGCAGGACTCAGGATTCTCTAGAGTTATACAACGAACAACGTTGCCGTCTCTTTCAAAATTTAATTTCCGTTTTTTTTTTTAAATTTTTATGAGTTTATTTTTTTAAATTCATTTTTATTGCTCCCTTTATATTATCCGGCTGTGTGGGGCCCCTCAGCTCTGGGGGCCCGACGCAGAGTGCGTCGTTTGCTTCATGTTAGATCCGCCACTGTCGAAATTGTATGCGGTTGACAAAAGAACAAATTCAATAAGTTACTTTTCAAAATAAAACCCATGATTAGCACACAAGATACTGTAATGAGACCTGTTATTCCAGCAAAAATTAAATTGGAAATTACACTATAGGTACCTATTCAAATTCAAACCCTACTAATGTACCTACTTCACTAATCACTTATACAAATCCTGTCTACACGCGTCCAGTCCGTTAAAAGTCAGTAAAATAAACGAGAGTGGGGGAAGCCACTTGCTCAACTAAATAGAATCTGGTTCTATTCACTTGTCTAATCACTTGACTAAAGATTTTATTTGCTCGAGTACCTATACTAAATTAAGGTGTTTACACGATTCAAGTTACTAAATTTTAGTTACTGGCGTTAGTACTTGCTCAAGCTACTTGCACCGTGTAAATGAGGCTTAACCTGTCAAAAAGTAACAAGTATTCATTCTAAGCTCACGACCTTCAAGGAGGACTCAAGCAAGGAACAACTATAAATTCGGCCCTTAATAAAATGTTCGTTGACTTGGTACCCATATAGAAGTGTTGGTAACTACGTAACCTATTAAGAGCGGGTATTATAAAACTATTTTGACAGATAACTAAAAGTTAACTTCTGATGGAATTTAATGAGAAATAATGTGATTTCAGGAGTGCGTTCGAAAAAGGGTTAAATTTTACCCAAGGGTGAGAGTGGGTATAGGGTCAAGTTAACTTTTAGTTATTCTGTCAAAATAGTTTTATAATACCCGCCCTAATGCCTCATTCTCACTTGCGCGAAATTCGCTCTTTTTTGACATTGCTTCTAAAATTTGACGTTTGATACACGCATAAAACGTCAACTTGTCGAAGCAATTCAACAATGGATATGTCATAGTCATGAAGAACATCACGGAGAGAAAAGGGAAAAATCATGTATACGACATTTTGAGAATTTGAGACATCTTGGCAATATCTACCTCTACGGCACTTAAGACGCTAAACACTTCATTTGTGAGAGAGAACAAGGATATCTTTGAAGGTGGAAAAAGCGATGTTATGAAGAGTGCTCAACCAATCTTCTACTTAGAAGACTTTTCATTATTAAAAAACAAGTGGAGTCACTACTAGACAGTAGGTATGCTAATATGGTTGCAGAGGGAGCTGTTCTGCCATCCTGGAATTGGATGCTAATTTTTTGGCAAAGAGATATGGTTTTTTCTTCGACGATACTATAATGGAATTATTGTCCTTAACTAAAGGTGAAAAGAAGATGAAATTTTTTTTCCTATGGTTAGCAAAGGACCAAAAGGCTCTTGATCCACTCGGGCAATCCAAGAACTCGAATACGCACTTGTTATAGGTTGTGTAACTCCTTAGTCTGGATGGTTATACGGTTGCAATCATTTCTGGCAGCCGTAAAGGACGATCGATTTTGTTCGCATTGGTTTCTACGCCAGACACGATATGCAGTGTTTTTTTTTTTTGCAATTGCTTGGACACACTGCTTGATAAACAAGGGTTTTCTGGCATGGGATGTTTTATTGTGGTGTGGAATGTACAATTATATATCTAAGGAAATTATTTTGGTAACGCAGTTG